CTCAGCCTTGGAGGACCCTTTTTTTTTGGTGAAAATATACATAGCCAAAGATACACCATTTCAAAAATTTCTACATGTACAATTCAGTTATGTCGATTACATTCTTCCAGTTGTGCTGCTATTCTCACTTTAGATGAAGGTTTACAGAATAAAATAGTTTCTCATTAAACAGTACACATACTACCCTCTGACAGTGGTTAAGAACCCACTACATGTCAACACTGTCCTTACTCAAACTTGGGTTCCCTATCACCAGCTTTCCTGTCCCCTTCTGCCTTAAGATTTTTTTTCTAAATTTTATTTATTTTGTTGTTGTTGTTGAGAATATACATATTAAAATATACACCATTTAACAGTTTCTACTTTATTGGACTGAAATATGTATAGCGAAATATTTGCCAGTCTAATCATTTTTATGTGTGTAGTTTAGTGACATTAATTACGCTCACCATGTCATGCAACCATCACCTCTATCCGCTTCCAAATTTTTTCATTACTCTTAACAGAAACTCAGTTCCCCTTAAAGTGTAAAAGTTTTAAATTTGGATTCTCAATTTATCTATTTTTTATTTTGTCACTTGTGCTTAAATTTCTTTTTGTTGGTTGCACTGAGAATTAGGAAGGACTTAGAACTGTAAAAAATCAGCAATTGTCCTTGTAGGATTTCAGTTACTTCTGAAATTATTTGAGTAAGAGATATTTGTGAGAGAATTAAGAAATTTTTAAAAGATGTTTCAGGAAAGACCAAAAATATCATGAGAACAGTTTTCCTACTGTGGTATGCTTGATGGAAATGAGCTCTCAGTGCCCTTGCTTTGCAACGAAGTTCATTCACTGGTGGCCAGCTGGGATGTTTGCAGCTGGTGGTAGGGACTGTAGATGAAGTCATGTGATGTTTTCTTGTCTTATTTAATGTCATTACAAGGAAAACCTCAAAAGACTAGAGGCCCCTTCTTGGAACATTAGATTTTGCCAGAGCACCTACAGGGGACTGATTGGGTTTCTTGTCATCCCTGATCTCCTGGAACTGAACCTCTATTCAGAAAATTCTTCAGTGAATCATGCCTAGGACCATGGCATCATAGACCCTTATAACTACTTGAGGTCTGACTGCTGGCTCAACATTCCTGTCACATGTCATCCAGCCTCTGCTTAATCACCTTCAGTGCCCAGGCAGCCCATTTCCGTCTTTGACAGGCTTCTCGTGAGGGTTAAAATGTATGAGGTAGTTAGCGTAGTGTCTTGCACAAAATAGGCACTCAGTAGATACATGGTAGCTTTTATTGTTTTGTTGGAAAATGTTTCTTTTGTTGCATTGAAATCTGTCTTCCTAATCCCAATTAATCCCAGTTCTTATTTCTGAGAACCTGGTAGAACAGGTCTTTCAAAACGTAGCCTTTCAAATATTAAAGAAATAATACAAGTTAAATGGCCACAGTTCTTTCAGTCTTTCCTCATGAGACATGTTTTTTTACTCCCTGCACCATCTTGCTCAGTAGTTATGGTGGTTTCTCAACCTGTCTGCCTTTCAGAATTGTCTGAGGAGCTTTTACTCGGTACACATGCCTGAATTTGTAGGTCTGGGATGGGGCCCAAACATCTACCTTTGTAAAAAGCACCCTGGTTGATTTTGTTGCATAGCCTGTGTTGTAGTCATCTAGTGCTGCTATAACAGAAATACCACAAGTGGATGGCTTTAACAAAGAGAAATTTATTCTCTCACAGATAAGTAGGCTAAAAGTCCAAATTCAGGGCATCAGCTCCAGGGGAAGGCTTTCTCTCTCTGTCGGCCTTCTCATCAGTGTTCCCCCGAACTAGGAGCTTCTCCGCATAGGAACCCCAGGTCCAAAGGACGCGCTCTGCTCCTGGCACTGCTTTCTTGGTGCTTCGAGGTCCCCCTGTCTCTCTGCTCGCTTCTCTCTTTTATACTCAAGAGATTGCCTCAGGATACAATCCAATCTTATAGATTGAGTGCTGCCTCACTAACAACTGTTACCCATCCTCCCTCATTAACATCATAGAGGCAGGATTTACAACCTATAGAAAAATCACACAATACCAGGAATCCTGGCCCAGACAAATTGATACACACATTTTTGGGTGGACATAATTCAGTCCATGACAGCCTGGTTTGGAAACTGCAGCTCTAACCTATTGACAGATAAATTAGAGTGGTAAGTGTTAGGGAGAAGAGGCTGTGATTTGCTAAGCTGGTCCTGTAAAGCAGTGTTTCTCAACCTCTGAACTATTGTCATGTTGGGCCAGATAATTCTTTGTTGTGGGGTCTGTCCTGTGCATTGTAGGATGTTTAGTAGAATCACTAACCTCTACCCACTAGACGCCAGTAGCACTCCCCCTTCCCCGCTCCTTGTGACAAGCAAAAATGTCTCTAGATATTGCAAAATGTATGCTGGAGGAGAAAATCACTGCCATAAAGATGAAAAACTCTGTTTTCGTAGTTGGAGAATAGCTGAAAGCAGCTCTTTACACACTTCCTTCTCACAGTACCATCTGCATAGTTACTACAAGTGACTAATCACAAAATTTGGTGCCTGGCTTAGTTCTGATTTATTTTAAATAACTCAAGCATATTTCAGTTTTTCTAATTTCCTGACATACGGTAGATTATGCATGGTCCTATATGAAATACTTATTTATAGTGTTTATAGTCATGGCAATCTGACACATACTTTAATATCAGGGAAAGAATCCTCTATTAGGTATTGCATTACTTGTTTATTCTAATATTCTGTTACTGGTATTTCTCTTTTTGTGCATATGGCAGCACTGCCCCGACCCAAACCTTGCTCTGGCTCTAGGGGAAGAATATACTCCAGAGGACCAGTAGTACCCTGTGAGCACGTGGGCTGACATTTGTCTAAACCAGGTTCCTGTTCAACTCTGTCTTGCAGTGAGAGCTTATAAGAAAATTGTAGAATTGAGACACCTCCTGGAAATTGCCGAGAGCAACTATAAACACTTGGGAGGAATAACAGAAGAAGATCTAAAGCAGAGGAAAGAACAGCTCGAGTCTGAAAAGTAATGTCCTCAAAACTTTAATGGTTTGTTTTTAGTTACTTTTCTCAATACCATATGAGAGTTTGTTGACTAGCAGCAGCTTGTTCTTTCACCCTCACCAAAGGGTGTTCGAGGGAACCCTGGTGCTGCCATGGTTAAGCTCTTGGCTGGTAACGAAAAGATTGGTGGTTTGAACCCACCAGTCACTTCGTTGGAGAAAGATGTAGCAGTCTGCTTCTGCAAAGATTTGGAAACCCGGTGGGGAAATTGTAGCTATAGGATAGCTATGAGTTGGAATCGGCTCTATGGCAGTGGGTAAAGGGTGTTAAATCCATCCTGTTTTCTTCCTAAGCCTCCAGGTGGAGAAGTTAAGATTTTTTTTAGACAACAGCTACTTTGAGCTCTTCTGCAACACAGGTGACACAGTCTCTAAACATCCCCATCAGAGTGGACTGCCTACTCATGAATCTGAGACCCAATCCTGTGTTCATTGACTATAGTACCCTCAATAGAGAGTGCTCTTGTGTCCAGGGGAAGTGAGCAGTTGTACATCTGCCTTCACCTTTCACCTCTGCACCTTTAGCACCTCTTCTTAATTAATGGCTGCTAGAATAGAGAATCACTAGTATTTCCTTCCTCCCACTGCCTGTCTGCCTGTCTATCTGCTTTGAGAGTAGACAAGTAACAGAGGAAGGCAGGAGAGGATACCTGTAGTTTAATCAAAACATGGATCTGTAAATAGCCCTGTACATGGATTCTCTTCCCTGTTCTCTGCTTTCCCTGCCCTTTTCTTTGGTCGTATCTTTGCCTCGTGCTTTTAGAACTTCTTATTTCCCCTCCCTCTACCACCTTCTCAATCTACCCTCAATAAGAGGTCTGGTAAATGTATTCAGACTAAGTCTACATCCTTGATAAGAACTAATGTGTTATCCTTCCATGGGTACTTGAAAATTTGAAAGAGATAAAGCCTTAAGTGAAATACTCTATCTCTTAATTAGATTCTAGACACTAGGAAGCTGAGGCAGATCAATTATTATTATTATTATTATTTTGGATCAGGAGACCTTCTTGGTATCTCACAAAGCACATTGTGTAGGTAACTCCCCAATGCCTATCTACTGCTAAAGGTGTTTTGAAATGTAGACTATTTTCAGCATTGGCCTTTGCCTAAAGAGTCTAGCCGAAAGTTCTTAGATCCCTTGTAGTATAGAAAAGTACTTCATAGTGGAGCAATTATTTCCTAGATAAACCCCTTACATATACAGTAAAACCTGCAAAAGCCAGAACCTGTGAAAGTTGGAAGGTGGAAACCTGTCAGAGAAGGAAAACTAAAATATTTTCCACTAAACCGAGCGATAGAAAAGTGGTAAGACTGCTCCCTGTCAAAGGCAGAAAACTTACAAGACCTAGAAAAACAAGACAGTCCCATTGAGTTCCAGGTCTCACAGGCTTCATTGTATTGTCTCATGCAATCTTTTTCTTTTTTTTGAATTATTATTATTTGTTACTGTTGTAGTTTAAGTGACAGTTTACATTTCAAGTTAGTCTCTTATACAAAAATTTATACATACATTGTTATGTGACCCTAATTGCTCTCCTTATACTGTGACAGCACACTCCTTTCCACCCTTGATTTCCCACATCCATTCAAGCAGCTCCTAACCCTCTCTGCCTTCCCATCTCACCTCCAAACAGAAGCTGCCTGTTTAGTCCTTGTATCTACTTGAGCTGAGAGGCACACTCCTCAAGAGTATCACTTTATGTCACACAGTCCAGTCCAATTCCTGTCTGAAGAGTTGGCCTGGGAAATTGTTTGAGTTCTGGGCTGACAGAGAGTCTGGGGGCCATGCTTTCTGTGGTTCCTCCAGTCTCAGACTATGAAGTCTGGTCTTCTTACTAGAATTTGAGTTCTGCACCCCTTTCTCTTGGTCCATCCGGGACTCTCTGTTGTGTTTCCTGTCAGGGCGGTCATTGGTGGTAGGTGGGCACCATCCAGTTCTTCTGGTCTCGGGCTGATGAAGTCTCTGGTTTATGTGGCCCTTCCTGTCTCTTGGGCTAATACTTTCCTTGTGTCTTTGATGTTAATGCTCCTTTACTCCAGGTGGTTGGGACCAATTGATGCATCTTAGATGGCCACTTGCAAGCTTTTAAGATCCCAGATGCCACTCACCAAAGTAGGATGCAGAACATTTTCTTAATAAACTTTGTTATGCCAGTTGACCTAGATGTCCCCTGAAAGCATAGCCCCCAGACCACCACCCCTGCTACTCTGTCCCTCGAAGTGTTTGATTGTATTCAGGAAACTTCCTAGCTTTGGTTTAGTCCAGTTGTACTGACTTTCCTGTAGTGTGTGCTTTCCTTTCCTTCACTAAGATAATCCTTGTCTACTATCTAGTTAGTGAATAACCCTTACCCTCCCTCCGCACCCTCGTAACCATCAAAGAATGTTTTCTTCTGTGTTTAAACCTTTTCTAGAGTTCTTATAATAGTGGTCTTATGTAATATTTATCCTTCTCTGATTGACTAAAATTTACTCAGCGTAGTGCCCTCCGGATTCCTCCATGTTATCTTTCATGGCTTCATCATTGTTCTTTATTGTTGCATAGTATTCCATTGTGTGGATATACCATAATTTGGTTATCCATTCATCTGTTGATGGGCACTTAGGTTGTTTCCATCTTTTTGCTATCATGAACAGTGCTACAGTGAACATGGGTGTGCATATATCTATTCGTGTGATGGCTCTTATTCCTCTAGGATATATTCCAAGGGGTGGGATTGCTGGATCCTGTGGTACTTCTATTTCTAGCTTTTTAAGGAGGCGCCAAATCGATTTCTAAAGTGGTTGTACCATTTTACATTCCCAACAGTGTATAAGTGTTCCAGACTCTCCACAACCTCTCCAGCGTTTATTATTTTGTGTTTTTTTGGATTAATGCTAGCCTTGTTGGGGTGAGATGGTATCTCATTGTAGTTTTGATTTGCATTTCTCTAATGGCTGAGGATTGTGAGCATTTCTTCATGTGTCTGTTAGCCGCCTGAATGTCTTCTTTGGTGAAGTGTCTGTTCATATCCTTTGCCCATTTTTTAATTGGGTTATTTGTCTTTTTGTTGTTGAGGTTTTCCAGTATCTTGTAGATTTTAGAGATTAGATGCTGATTGGATTTGTTGTAGCCAAAATTTTTTTTCCAGTCTGTAGGTTGTCTTTTGGTGAAGTCTTTTGATGAGCATAAGGGTTTGATTTCTAGGAGCTCGCAGTTATCTAGTCTCTCTTCCGGTGCTTGTGCTTGGTTACTTATGGTTCATATTCTGTTTATGCCACGTATTAGGGCTCCTAGCATTGTCCCTGTATTTATCTCATGCAATGTTGACAGCCCCTTGAGGTATTGTTGTTATTCTCACTATACAGATTAGAAAACCCAGATGTAATATAGAGGTTAAGTGACTTGCCTAAAGTCACGGTAGTGAAAGGGATCAGGTAGGGATTTGAGCCTTAGTCTGTATGACTCCAATTCTGTTATTTAAGATCATATAAAATTTTAATAGTCCTTAATGGAATTTTAAACTCTAGTGGTTGTGGAATAATCCATTATTCTGAGTGGTTTTACTATTGATATAAGAGATTTCTGAGCAGAAGTATGTATTTTTGGTTGTTTTTTTAAAGATTGCTTTAGCTTTTGTGCTAGAATGTAGCTTCATGTCAGCTGAGAATGTTATGTTTCTTCTAAATTCCCCCCGAGTAAGCTTTACATCTTCTCTGGAATTTATTTTCCACTTAGTTTTAAGTGCATCTTAAGACATTTACTCCTTCAGGGCAAAGCTCCTGATCTTAAATCTAGTTGTAAGGAGAAAGTGGATAACTGTTGGTTTGAGGGATGTCCTTTTGATTTTGTTGTTATTCATTAGTTAAGTCAAACTCACAATACAAAAAAACATGGTTGTATTTATGTGTCCTGGGGAATGATTTTTCCTTCTTATTGTTGTATTTCTAGGTTTTCACAGTCGACGCTCTTCTTCCACATTCCTGGTCTTAAAACTCGCTCACTTCCTTACCAGAACTACTACTGTATTACTCTTGGATTGTCCTACCTGGGACCTGACCCTCAACTCAGCATGCCCTGGGGATTCTGTTCCCTTCATCATCCAGCTATAACGAAAAAAAACCAAAAAACCTGGTTCAAGCTACAGCATTTTTGTCTGGATTATTTTCACAACCTCCTGATAGGTTTCCCAGCTTACTCTTGCCCCTTACTCTTTGCCGCTATGCCCTATAGTCTGTTCTCAACACAACAGCCAGAGTGATCTTGTTAAAACTTAAGTAAAATCATACCATTTTCTCTGCTCAAACCCTCCAGTGGCTTCCTGTTTCACTCAGAGCAAAAGCCAAAGTCCCAGCTATGATTTATAAGGCCCTACTTGTTCTGGCTCCCTGTTCTCTCTCTAACCTACTACTCTTTTAAACTACTCCAGCCACGTTGGCTTGTGGTTTTCTTCCAATTCACCTGACCTATTTCTGTTTTAGGGCCTCTTTATGCTTGCTGCTCTCACTGTCTGGAACGCTTTTCCTCAGCTGTCTGCATAGTGATCACCCTAATTTCCTTCAGGACTTTGCTCAGAAGCCCCCTTCTTAGTAAGACCTTTCCTGACCACTGTAGGTGAAATGCTAACCCCCTCCTCCACAACATTAATATCCCTCTTTCCTGCTTTATTTTTTTCTCCCTTAGCACTTACCACCTTCTAATACACCATATATTTTATTCATTTATTTATTTTGTTTATTGTCTGTCTTCCTCCACTACTAAGTTAAAGGCCATGAGGGGAGATTCTGGCCTGTTTTGTTCACTGCTGTATCCCTAGTGCCTGGATCATTGTTGGGTCAGAGTAGCACTCAGTCCATATTTGTTGAATAAATTATTTCTTTGTTTTATGTGCCTTAAAGACAATGTATGGATGCTTTCCACTATTACCAAAAATAATTTTTAGTTGACATTGGAGATTGACTGAAAAAACATGTTTTTGACAGGACCATCAAAGAGCTGCAGGACCAGCTGGACTATGAACGACTTCGTAGAGAAAAATTAGAATGTCAGCTGGATGAGTATCGAGTGGAGGTAGATCAACTCAGGGAGACTCTGGAGAAAAATCAGGTCCCCAACTTCGTGGCTGCGGTTGGTGTCTTTCTTAACACATTCATCTTTCTCGAGAAACAGTATAGAAGAGTGGCTAGGAGTACAAGCTTTGGACTGGGGCTGTTTGAGTTTGAATCTTGGCTACAACTCTTTTTGGACTGGGCAAGTCATTTAACCTCTCTGTGCCTTAGTTGTAAACTGGAAACAAATGGCCCCCAAGCATAGTGCTGAAGTGCTGTCTAATGTTCCCAAGTATAAGAAGGCTATGATGTGCCTTAATGGAGAGAATATGTGTGTTAGATAAGCTTTGTTCAGGGTGAGTTATAATGCTGTTGCCCATGAGTTAAATGTTAATGAATCAATAATATATATTAGGCATTTTTAAACAGAAACACACATGAAACAAGGTTATATATTGATTGGTTCATGAAAATGATTTCACAGTGGCTAACAGGAGCCTAACTCTGTATTTTCCCTAGGTGCAATGGTTCAATTTCACTAATTCAGTGTTCACGCCATCTTTAGATGAGCCGTATATGTATATAGCTATATATCTACATACATATATGTATATGCACACATATATATGTTAGAACATATATTAAAGAAATATATATATTTATATGTAAATATATATATATATATAAAATAATGGTTTGAACAGTCATGGTTCATTATAGGTGTGCACTAAGTGTTATTATTACTCCATATAAGGATAAAATATGTTTTATAAGCAGAATAATCAGTAAGAATTTCAAAACAGCTAGGGAGTATGTACTGAAAAGCAGGTGGAGTATAGAAAACAGAGTGAAAATGAAGGCAAGAAACCTCAAATGGTGCTTGTATTTCAGGCCATCTAGTCTCTGGTGCAAACGGTTAACATGCTCATCTGCTAACTGAAAGGCTGGAGATTCAAGTCCGTCCAGGGGTGACTCAGAAGAAAGACCTGGTGGTCTACTTCTGAAAAAACTAGCCATTGAAAAGCCTATGGAGCACAGTTCTACTCTGATACACATGAGGTTGTCATGAGTTGGAATCGACTTGATGGCAACTGTTTTTTTTGTTGTTGTTGTTTAATCTCAGCAGAGCAGGCAGAAAGTGCACTGGGGACTTTGACTTTCTCTTTCTTCTGTGAGTGAGGATGACCATGATGTGGCCTTTGTGTACAGCTCATCTTCACATATTGTAGGGATTCAAGTAAGTTTTGTTTGGCTCCCTTGTATAGGGAATTCTTCTCTTCAGGCATCATAGATGAATTAAGTCTGTTCCAGGCCTCATCACCTGAATCTGATCTGTAATAAAAACTCCCTGGCTGCCCCAAGGCTCCAGTTTCTCATCATCTCTGCATCCTGACTCCAGACCAGTCTTCCTAAAATTGTTTCATCTTTTGCTGAAAACATTCACTGGCTCCTTGTTATGTTTTGTCAAATGCAAACTTCTTTATCCTGCCTTTTTATTTTTGCACAAACCATTTTTTAAATCTCCTAAAAAACACTTTAAAATATCGTGTGCTTGTTGTAAAATGTTAAAAACAGAACAGACATTCCTCCTTCCACCAAGTTCCACTATCCAGAGCAGGCTACTATTAATAGTTTGGTATGTATCATGTGGTTGCGTGCAGTGAAGTTGATTCTGACTCATAGCAACCCTATATGACTGAGTAGAACTGCCCCATAGGGTCTCCTAGGCTGTAATCTTTATGCGAGCACATCACCAGGTCTTTTCTCCCATGGAGCTGATGGGTGGTTTTGAATCCCCTTTTGGTTAGCAGCTGAGTGCTTAACTGTTGTGCCACAAGGACTCCTTTGTATGTATTTTATTAAGAGAAAATTCTATTCACATAAAAACACTTGTGTATCTCTATGCATATACAAATACAAACACTTTCTCAGCTTTTCTGGGTTATAGTATTTCACCAGTGCTTGATTATCTAAGGGATATAATTATAATAATCCATTCTCTTCATTTTTGCAATGCTCTTCTGTGCTACCTTTAGCCCACTGGGGAAACTTTAGTATCAGAGAGGACAGCCTGTGCAGTCACATGATGTTGACTAGCGGAGACAAGTCATTCATTCTTAAACTGCAGCTTTGCACTCAACATCTTTTACCTCCTGACCTTGTGGCAGGGACTCTGCTGACTCCCATAGTCTTCTCAGAGGTAGGAACATATGTTGTTCTTATCCAGCTACCTAGCTGGGACTGTCATTTGGGGGTCATGTAAGCTGCATACCTTCCCATTCCAAGTTGATTGTGTCCCTATAAACTTTTTTTTCCCCTAAGCTATTCAAAAATTCTTTTTTCTTGCTTAGATTCCATACTCCACAGCCCAGCCTTCTAAAATCTCTCTCTTTACCAACAATGTGTGGGAGCTGACTCAAGGTCCCTATACTCTGGACCCATCACTCTTTGCAGTTCTGCTTTAGATTATATTCAATTTTTGCAAATGAGCAAATGCCACCAACCTTTCATGGAAGTTGCAACCTTGGATACGACTTATTTTCTTCTCTGTGCAAGTTTCTCAGAGTCTCAGCTTCATCTTCTTTAAAAATAGTGGGTAATACCTAGTAGGAGCCCTGGTGGCACAGTGGTTAAAGCGCTTGGCTGCTAACCGAAAGGTTGGTGATTTGAACCCACCAGCTGCTCCGCAGGAGAAAGATGTGGCAGTCTGCTTCTGTAAAGATTACAGCCTTGGAAACCCTATGAGGTAATTCTACTCTGTCCTGTAGAGTCGCTATGAGTTGAAATCAACTCGATGGCACAGAACAACAACAATAGCACCTACCTTACGGGATCAACTTGATGGTAAATTAAATGTTTTGTTGAAATCTTGAGCTCAGTTACAGATGTACTTGACAAATACAAGTATTCGTAGTATTATTTCCTTGTATTATTTCCTCCCTTCCTCATACCTTTTTCTCCTTTTTCCTTCCCCTTGTTTATTAGAGACAAATAGACATAGTCAGTGAATAAATAAATGTGTAGATTCCTATGCAGTTTGAGGGTAGGAGGACTTAGTTTATTTTGGACTCTTAGCATATATAAAGTATAAATAAAATGAACTTTTCGTTCACTACTTATTTATATGAATGAAGTTTTTAAGAATCTCTGACTAAATCTTTGTCCTGCCACCTTGTGGTCAGAACCTATGACTGCATACACTTGTACCTTTAGGACTTTTTTCTGCCCAAAAGAATCTGCAATAGTATAATTTTTATCCAGAAAAAAAAAAAAAATTGGGATAATTTCTTAGGATAGTTTGAATATATAAAGCACTTAAGTAGTTTTTGATCATAATACCAGTTGTTGTTGTTAGGTGCTGTCGAGTTGGTTCTGACTCATAGCAACCCTGTGTACAACAGAACGAAACACTGCCCGATCCTGCACCATCCTCAGAATGGTTATGTTTGAGCTAATTGTGCAGTCATTGTGTCAGTTCATCGTGTTGAGAGTCTTCCTCTTTTTTGCTGACCCTCTACTTTAACAGGCATGATGTCCTTCTCCAGGTACTGGTCCATCCTGATAACACATCCAAAGTATGTATGATGAAGTCTTGCCATCCTTGAGTCTAAGGAGCATTCTGGCTGTACTTTTTCCAAGACAGATTTGTTTGTTCTTCTGGCAGTCCATGGTATATTCAGTGTTCTTTGCCAACACCATAATTCAAATGCATCAGTTCTTCTTTGTTCTGTTGTACATAGGGTCACTTTGAGTTAGAACTGACTCAATGACACTTAACAGCAATAACAGTGTATGATTCCATGCAGTGCCAAATATAGGTAAAATTAACCATTGGTGCCTGTAGGAGGCAAAGAGAGGCCTCTAGGATACTGGCAGTGTTCAATTTATTGATCTGAATTGTGGTCATATGAATTTGTAAAAATTCATTAAGCTTTATATTTATGTACATTTCTTATACTTAAAAACATTCACTTAAAAATTATAAACTATATTGGAACTATAATAGCTTTGGCAGAGATGTCTGTCCATAAAGAGATTTATGAGCACTGAATTCTTTACAGCTTCTGTCCCCAGAACAAGTATCATTCAGGAGGTCACTGATCTAAAGCTTTGGGCCATGTTTACTAGTCAGAAGGCCAACTTGGACCTGGTAATATTCCATGATTACCTTCCATGTTTAACTTACCCTTGTTTTCTACTTACAAGAGCTTGGAACTGGGTTGAACTTTGATACGCTCTCTTTTGGGCTTCTCTCTGTCCTCTGACTTCCAAGCCTATGGGCCTGTAACAGTCCTTGGAGCAATCAGTCTCTCTCTGTTAGTTATGCTGTTTTGACACTCTGTTAAGAAGTCTGTTCTAGTAAGCAATTGCAGATATTCCAGAAGATGAATTTATCTCTTTTTAGTTTTGCATACTGTCCAGAACTTCTCAGACTGCATAGAAATTTTTAAAAACAAGAATTCCATGTACCCAAGTAATAATTTGTAGATATAAAACCTCTGTCAGCAGTTTCATGTGTAGAATCATTAATCTCTTCAACAAGGTTATAAATTATTTCAGAGCAAAAAATACTGGTTATGTTTAAAATATATTTTCACACAGGGGTTGTTATCTAATTTTGTTGTAGTAATATGCTGCATTTGTATTTAAAATTGCTTTTGGTAGCTAAGCACCATGATTCAATATATAGTTGGTTTTTTTTTTTTTAATCCCCCTGGGTTTTGGAGAAAACTCCTGGTAGAGAGAAATACACTTCTGGCTAGACTTTATGATAAGAGGCTTAGCAAAATTAGTAATGTTGGTGAAAAATATTCCCTAAATGCATAAACTTCTGGGATTTGAAACTCGGGAACTTTTAATCAGTAGTTACCAGAGGCCTGTTGAGTACCAAGCATATATTTTCTTTCAAATTAGTTGTACAGTAAGGTTTGGTCTGATAGATCAAGGTATGTACTTGGTCTTTGTAGTAGAGGCTTTGAATATTTATTTTCTATTTTCAGGATACTTGGAATCCATAAAAAATCCTCAAGGAGTTAGTACATGTGAAATTAACAATAAATATTACAGTTTCTGGATGTTTTGCAAGTCTATTAAAACACTAGAAAATTGGCTACATTTGACAAGTAGCTACCTCTCTTTCCCTACATTTTGTATTATCTTGCTATAATTCCATGTTATCATGCTAATTGGATGAGGTTAAAAGCCTACCCCACCTCAGTGTTTTTTTTTCTCCCATGGACATCTTTGCATCCATCCCTTAATGATCTTGAGGAGCTTCTGAAACATAGGGGTTTCTTTATTTTTTATCTACTACTTCACTGCAAACTGCTGAGTGGGAACCAGACAATATTTCTTTCTTTAGCTATAAAGATATGTAGTACAGTATACAGTACAGTTGTGTACTGTACTGTACTTTGTCCAGAAGACAAAGTAAAATATTATAATGACATGTGCAAAGATCTGGAGATAGAAAACCAAAAGGGGAGAACACACTTGGCATTTCTCAAGTTGAAAAAACTGAAGAAAAAATTCAAGCCTTGAGTTGCAATATTGAAGGATTCTACAGGGAAAATATTAAACGACACAAGAAGCATCAAAAGAAGATGGAAGGAATACACAGAGTCACTATACCAAAAAGAATTGGTCGACGTTCAGTCATTTCAAGAGGAAGCATATGATCAGGAACTGATGGTACTGAAGGAAGAAGTCCAAGCTGCCCTGAAGGCATTGGTAGAAAACAAGGCTCCAGGAACTGATGGAATACCAGCTGTTTTAGCAAATGGATGCAGTGCTGGAAGTGCTCACTTGTCCATGTCAAGAAATTTGGAAGAGAGCTACCTGGCCAACCGATTGGAAGAGATCTGTATTTATGCCTTTTCCCAAGAAAGGTGATCCAACTGAATATGGAAATTATTGAACAATATCATTAATATTCACACTCAGGTAAAATTTTGCTGAAGATCATTCAAAAGTGGCTGCAACAGTATGTCAACAGGGAACTGCCAGAAATTCAGGCTGGATTCAGAAAGAGGATGTGGAACCAGGGATATCATAGCTGATGTCACATGGATCCTGGCTGAAAGCAGAGAATAACAGAAAGATGTTTACTTGTGTTTTATTGACTATGCAAAGGCATTCGACTGTATGGAGCATAACAAATTATGGATAACCTTGTGAAGAATGGGCATTTCTGAACAATTAATTTTTCTCCTGAGGAACCTGTACATAGATCAAGAGGCAGTTGTTGGAACAGAAAAAGGGGATACTGTGTGGTTTAAAGTCAGGAAAGGTGTGCATCAGAGTTGTATCCTTTCACCATACTTATTCAATCTGTATGCTGAGCAAATAACCTGAGAAGCTGGTCTATATGAAGAAGAACGGGGCATCAGGATTGGGGGAAGACTCGTTAACAATCTGCATTATGCAGACGACACAATCTTGCTTGCTGAAAGTGAAGAGGACTTGAAGCACTTACTGATGGAGATCAAAGACCACAGCATTCACCCTTCACTTCAGTATAAAGAAAACAAAAATCTTCACAACTGGACCAGTAAGCAACATCATGATAAATGGAGAAAAGATTGAAGTTGTCAAGGATTTCATTTTACTTGGATCCACCATCATTGCCCATGGAAGCAACAGTCAAGGAATCAAAAGACGCATTGCATTGGGCCAATCTGCTGCAAAAGGCCTCTTTAAAGTGTAAAAAAGCAAAGATGTCACCTTGAAGACTAAGGTGCGCCTGACCCAAGCCATGATGTTTTCAGTCACCTCATATCCATGTGAAGGCTGGGCGATGAATAAGGAAAACTGAAGAACTGATGCCTTTGAATTGGGGTGTTGGTGAAGAATACTGAATATACCATGGACTGCCAAGAGAATGGACAAATCAGAATTCCCCTTAGAAGCAAGGATGGGGAGATTATGTCTCACATACTTTGGACATGTTATCAGCAGGGATCAGTCCCTGGAGAAAGACAACATGCTTGGTAAAGTAGAGGGTCAGTGAAAAAGAGGAAGACCTTCAACGAGATGGATTGACACAGTGGCTGCAACAGTGGGCTCAAGAATAACGACGATTGTGAGGATGGCGTAGGATCGGGCAGTGTTTTGTTCTGTTGTACGTAGGGTCGCTATGAGTTGGAAATGATTTGACAGCAGCTAACCACAAAAACAACAATATTGGTCTTCAGACTAGCTGAGAAACTTTTTCAAGGGAAAACACCATTGGTCTCAGCCTATGCCCACCAGTATCTGGCCACTATAAGGAAAGTAGCAATTTTGTCATCTATTCCTTTCTCAAGTTTGCAACTGAGAGTGTGGGAGGAGGCAGATGTGTGGGTCTATATTTCCAGGGGGTATTGGGTTGATGGCAACTTATCCCCATGTTCTCACACTACTGTGTGAGTTACACTAAGTTCACGAGTGAAGGTGTGGACAAGAACACCTGGGGGAATACTAACTCCAGCTATGGGCGCGCTCCATGGACATGTGGCTTGCACTGTTCTTGGACGACCCGAGTTCAGATCTGTCCTGTGTAACTGGGGACAGGACATTTTTGACTGGAAGAAGTCATTAATATTAATATCTAGTGAGCATCCATTGTGTTCCTAGCACTCCCTTGCTCCCTTCTGTAGCATTTATTAAGTGATTATTTTGTGCTGGGTCCTGAGAATACTACCATGGATGAGAAATACTCAGAGACAGCGGTTGGTGGAGCAAAGTGGAAAATGAGACAAGAGCAGTAGAGGGATGGTCAGAGTTGTGGCAACACAGAGGAGGGAATGGAGGAGCCAGGAAATGTGATTCCCACACTATAGGGCTTGCAAAAAATCCAGAGAATGATATACTAGCACTTTCTACATTTCAATTAGCAATATGTTGGTTGTTAAATGTTAGTCTAAGACAGAAGCAGAAACAACAATCTGTTGTCTTTTGGAACTATATTAGGTAGAGATAGGACTGACTGATTTCTCAAGGTGCCTCTCAGTCTTATGTTTCAGCACAGTATGATGCACTGGTACTTTAGATTTGGAAATTTATTTACACAGAATACTAAAAGTTAATTCACAGTTGAAAATATTAGCATGATTAATTTTTTTCTTTTGAAATAGGTAGTAATAGAAAGATGAAACTGTGTGCTAGCAGAGAAATTTTATTTGACCCTCTCCTTTTGTTTGTAGGATGATGACTCTTCTTGTGAATCAAGCAAAGAGAAGGGGAGTGTGAAGAAAAAGGTGTCTTCTAGGGGAGTGTTTGTGAGAAGGTACTAATCAGTGAAATAACTTTAAATAAATTTCCATGATTTTTCTCTTCCATTTTTAAAATTGATGTAAATGTAAATCTATATAAATTCTTCTCAGAATTATGCTGATATGTTATTATTCCAACTCTGAAGGCAGAAATAGGCTATTTAATCTCATAGGGATTTTAAAAATTCTGTGGACTCAGTTGTACTCCCCTTCCCAATACACTTTTTATATATCTATGTAGGCCAGTCAAGACTCTAAAGCAGATTTATGTGAATAATTAATTTTGCAAGTATTCACATAAGCTTCATAAGATACTATAGTTTAGAAATCAAAAGAAATCTAGTTCTAGGTATTAAAAAAAGGATTGTTCCATCTTATAATATTCCTGTTACGTTCTAGAGAGTACCATTTACTGCTATTAATGTGAACATTTTTTTTTTATTTAAAAATTTTTTTAAAATGACCTAACTTTTAAAAAGTGTCAGGACTTGGGAGAAGATGGAACACAAGAACACCAATAAGTTTTAGAAAAGAACAACTTTACAGTGACAACCAAATCTCTCATACTCATAAAAATTTTACATAAAATGAAAATTAGCTCTTACTATAAGAGAAAAACATAATGTGTGCTTGCTGAGAATACCCACTTAAAAAAACCTGCTTCAGAATACAGACATTGTTCCGTCTTGCAAGCTTTATTATAAGAAAGGAAAACAGAGAAGAGAAAGATTGGACAGGATAAGAAACACATGGCTTTATTATTTTCCCAGGTTTCTCCCTTGAAATTAAAAACCAATTGTATTTTGCTGACCTAGAAACAACCATGACATTTCAATTCTGTTCTGACTTCAATTCTCTCATTTTTCCTATCCCTCTCCCGATCTCCACTTCTTTTTACCTCCTTGGGCTAGCAAAGATCTATTTTGAGGCAGTTGTCTAGATCCTGCCTCCCCCTGAAGATCTAATGGCTAGCCTTGGGGTTTACTGGCAGCAGGCTTCTTACCATACACCGAACTGGCCACCCTCAGGACCCTGGCATGCACTTTACATGCTACAGGCCACTTTGACCCAGTGTCATCAAGACCAGTTTCCCCTGGCAGGAGTGCATTTGATTGCTAAGTCTAGTTGAAGCTGGTCAAGGCCTGTAAGCAAGAGTTAAAAAATGGCTTATCTATCCTTTTGATAACCTTTATATACACTATTGTTAGTTTCTCTGTAGTTTTCAATAGGCTTTCAATCTAGAGTGATAATAATAGTTAACGTTTATTGGCAGTTACTATGTAGATCTATGCCAAGTCCTTTACACATATTGTCCTGTTTTAAAAAATTTCATTGTGGCAAAATATATACAATAAAAATTTCCCATTTTATGTATTTTTTTATTGTTGTAAAAATATATGTAACACATTTGCCAATGTAACATTTTTTACGTGTCACATTCAGTACACCAATTACCAGGTTGTTCAACCATCATTATTGTCTGTGGCCAAGTTTTCCATCTCCATAAACAGATACTCAATGCTTCCTAAACAATAATTACCCTTTTCTCCCCACCTCCTGCCCCCGGTACCACTAATAATCTTTGGTCTCTATACATTTGCCTATTCTACATATTTCATATAAGTGGGATCATACAGTGTTTGTCCTTGTGTGACTTACTTCACTCATCATAATGTTTTCTAGGTTCATTCATGTTGTAGCATGTATTAGGACTTTTTATGGCTGAGTAATATTCCATTGTATGTATACACTACATTTTATTTATCCATTCTTCTGTTGATGGACATTTCGCTTGTTTCCACCTTTTGACTATTTTGAATAGTGCTGCAGTGAACACTGGTATACTGGTATCTGTTTGTGTCATTGCTTTCAAGTCTTCTGGGTATATACCTAGGAGTGGAATTACTGGGTCCTGCAGTAGTTTTCTGATCAACTTTTTTAGGAATCACCAAACTGTTTTCCACAGCAGCTACACCATTTTGCATTCCCATCAGCAATGGATGAGGGTTCCAGTTTTTCCACATGTTCGCCAATGTTGTTGTTTTCCTTTTTTTAAAATCTTAGCCATTCTAGTGAGGGTGAAGTGGTATCTCATTGTGGTTTTGATTGGTCGTTGTTAGTTGCTGTCAAGTCGATTCCGACTCATAGTGACCCCATGTGTACAGAGTAGAACTCTTTTGGAAGCAGATTGCCAGGGCTGTCTTCTGAGGCACCTCTGGTTGGTTTTGAACTGCCAACCTTTCGGGTAGTAGTCAAGCACTTAACTGTTTGTGCCACTTAGGGACTCATGATTTTGTATCTCCCTGTGGATGGGAGAAGAAGCCCGGGTGGCACAGTGGTTAAGTGCTTGGCTGCTAACTGAAAGGCTGGCAGTTCTAACCCACCAGCTGCTCCACGGGAGAAAGATGTGGCAGTCTGCTTCCGGAAAGATTACAGCCTTGGAAGCCCTATGGGGCAGTTCTCCTGTGTCCTATAGGGTTGTTATGAGTTAGAATCAACTTGATGGCAACTGGTTTTTTTTTTTTTTTTTTTTAATGGATGGGAGCCTTGAAAAATCTATGGAGCTGTTCTACTCTGCACACATGGAGTCACCATGAGTTGGAATCGACTTGATGGCAACTAGTTTATTTTTTTGGGGGGGGAGGTAGTTTAATGGTTAATGATGTTGAGCATCTTTTCATGTGCTTATTGGCCATTTGTATATCTTCTTTAGTAAATGTCTGTTCAAATCCTTTGCCCATTTTTTTTGATTGGGTTGTCTTTTTGCTGTTAGGTTGTAGGAGTTCTTTGTATATTTTGGATATTAAACCCTTATCTGATATATGGTTCCCGAAATTTTTCTCCCAATCTGTAGGATGTCTCTTTACTGTGTTGTTAAAGACCTTTGTTGAACAGAAGCTTTTAATTTTGCATTTTATTCATTTTTAAGTGTACAATTCAGTGACATTAATTACATTCCCCATGTTGTGCAACCATCACCACTGTCTGTTTCTACAAGATTTTCATCACCCCAAACAGAAACTCAGTACCCCTTAAGCAATAACTCCCCATTACCTTCTCTCCCCAGCCCCTGGTAACTGCCAATAAACTTTTGTTTCTATACATTTTCCTATTCTAGATATTTCATGTAAGTAGCATCATAAAATATTTGTGCTTTGTGTATGATGTATTTACACACATTCTCTTAATTCTCACAGCAGCTGTATGAGGTAGGTATATTGTATAAATGAGAGATTAAATAATTTGCCCAGGATCACAGAGCAAGGCAGAGCCAGGATTCTAACCTTGGCAGGAAAAATTCAGCATCTACATTCTTAACCACTGCTGGAATTTCCAAATTCAACATACTCCTCACTTTCTGGGGCTAGAAACAGCCTTACTTTTTCCTGCCAACCTGGTGACTCTAAAATTAATCCCAACCCTGGAAATAGTTCTTTATACTTGCTCCAACTTTCTCAAGACCATGGCTGTAGTCTCTCACTGTACCAGTGTTGTAACAGAATCTCAGAGAGTCTCATAAAGAGGAGGAAGAAGTCAAAGTTGTAATGCAGTGGTCTCTAAAATGATTACACATCCTAATCATAAAAAAAAAATTTAAGCATGCACCCCTGTGGCAGAGATTGCTTAGTGTCCACCAATATCTGTTCTTCCCTTCATCTCTAGTAATAGGATTTTACCAGCACTTGTGGTAAAGGATAAAAGAATAAGACTAACTTCCCAGCCTTCCTTGCAGCTAAGATACCAAGTTGTGGCCAACAGGATGTGAGCAAAAATGGTGTGTATAACTTTAGGGTCATGCCTCTGAAGGGAAAGGGCTTGCCCACTTTTTACCCCTTTCCTCTACTGGCAGTGAGTCATTGGACCTTGTGAATGAGGGCAACACCAGGGATGGTAGCACAATATGATAAAAAGGAGCTTGGGTCCTGACACCATGGAGCTGACATACTAGCCCTGGAATGCTTACGATTGGACTGTAGGTAAGAGAGAAATAAACCTCTGTCTTATTTAAGCCACTATTATTCTGGGTCTTGTTAAAGCAGCTAAATTTAAATCCTAATACAATCCCCAAATTATGTGTAAAATTTATAAATCTCATACATGTATTACTGTCATGTTGGTGAAACAAAAATACAAATGAAAAAGATGTAAAGAGATAGAATTCTAGTATTTTGTTTCCATGCCTAAGTAGCAGAATGTCTGTCTACCTCCTGAGATGGAGTACCTCAACTTGGAGACTACTAGTATATGTAGTAAGAACATGAGATTTGGAATTAAAGTGTGTGACTTATTTGTTGTATGACCTCTATCAAGCTGGTTAACTTCACTAAGCTCGTTTCTTTAGCTGTGAAATGAGGATAAAACTATCTACCTAAGAGGACTGCTGTGAGAAAAAGGTAAGTTAATATGTATTATTTGGCATATTTGCTGTTATGCAGTCAGTGGTACCCAGTATTCCACAAAATGGCAATCACTAGTTTCAGTGTTGGTGACCATAACCTTTTCCATTGTGATTTTTTTTTTTATATTAAATTATTCTTTAAAACTGAAAGTGTTACACATCTAAATTCTTCAATTTTGACAAAAAGGCATCATAAGCTTTGAATTGCTTTTCAGATATGGTGAAGGGTTTTTACTGAGTCTTGCCTCATCCACTTTGTCATCAAACAGTATGAAAGGGCAGGTTAGGATCTAGTCTATGGCCACAGAACAAGGTGAAGGTAGCTAATCCTCTTGGAGGCTTTTCACCACCCACAGAAAATGCCAGAAAGGTTTGTGTTCTCAGAAACTCAGTTTAAATGAAAATGTTCTCAGTGTACCCATAATCAAATATTTAAAATACTAAAAAGGGTGGGTTAAGGCAATCAAGATTTATTTGTATCATTTATTCTACGAGCATTTAACAAGTACCTTATATGAGTTAGCCCTGTGCCTAGAGGTTCAGAAATGAGTAAGATATACCCTTCTGAGAGCTTATAGTTTAGGACAGGAAAGAGACATATACAATAGCTGTTTTATAGTAAGGTGCAGGTGCTGGAATAGAGATGTAGTTTTGAGGTACACAGGGGCACAATCCTCTCATCCTCCTTCATTTTGGATATTTCCATCCCCTTAACAAAAATCTATCTGAACTAGAAAAGTACCATCAAAATGAAGTCTCAGTGGAAAAGATACAGGATCTAGAAGTAATGAGGATAAGGTATGCTGTGTATGATACTTCTGTTGTTGTCCGGTGCCGTCGAGTTGGTTCGACTCATAGTGACCCTACATACAACAAAACAAAACACTGCCCGGTCTTCCACCATCCTCACAATCGTTGCTGTTTGAGCTCGTTGTTGCAGCCACTGTGTCAGTCGATCTCACTGAGGGTCTTCCTCTTTTTTGCTGACCCTCTACTAAGCATGATGTCCTCCAGGGACTGATCCCTCCTGATAACGTGTCCAAAGTACGTAAGATGAAGTCTCGCCATCCTTGCTTTAAGGAGTATTCTGGTTGTACTTCTTCCAAGACAGATTTGTTTGTTCTTTCGGCAGTCCATGGTATATTCAATATTCTTCTCCAATACCATAATTCAAAGGCCATTAATTCTTCGGTCTTCCTTATTCTTTAAGCTTTCGCGTGCATTTATGAGGCAATTGAAAATACCACGGCTTGGATCTAGCACATGTTAGTTCTCAAAGTAACATCTTTGTTTTTAATCCTTTAAAGAGGTCTTCTGCAGCAGATTTGCCCAATGCAGTGTGTCATTTGATTTCTTGACTGCTGCCTGCATGGGCGTTGATTATGGATCCAAGTAAAATAAAATCTTTGACAACTTCAGTCTTTCTCTGTTTATCATGATGTCGCTCATTGGTTCTGTTGTGAAGATTTTTGTTTTACATTGAGGTGTAATCCATACTGAAGGCTGTAGTCTTTGATCTTCATCAGTAAGTGCTTCAAGTCCTCTTCGCTTTCAGCAAGCAAGGTTGTGTCATCTGCATATGGCAGGTTGTTAATGTGTCTTCCTGAATTGTACCTGTATTGACTGATAAAACTGATATTGGAGAATACGGTTTATATCTGCAGGCCAGTAGGCTTCCTATCACTGAATCCCAGAATCAGACACTTACCCTGTTCCAAACATCATTACTGGGACAGGCTTCACCCTGCAGAGGCAAAGCCTGACTCTATAGAAGCAGAACAGAATGAATGCTCTCTGCAGACAGGATGGTCCCACAGAGGAGGGGGAAAGAAGGGGCTGGGTTACTTGGGCCTTGTTTTGTCTTCAAACTTACAATTAGGTAAGTTACTTTATTTCACCACGGGGAGAGTGGATGAGGGGACCAAGAGTGACAAGAATGCTATGTTGCTGGCGTTACCTTCACATAATATTCCTTCAATATTTTAACCAAAATAATTTATTGTCTGTGTTCTCCTCTAAGACTGTCAACTCCGTAAGAATGAAACCTCTGTACACACAGGGACTAGCATGTTCCCTGGCACACAGTAGGCATATCTGACTGAAAAATGCACTGTAGAGTTTGCTACAGATGGACTTTAATCTTTATGGTCTTTATTTACTAATCCAATAAAAATTAATCAACAGTGTGCTAGTAATAATATAATCTATCAGTTATTCAGAATAACCTTGTCATTTGTTTAGTTATAAATAGTTATAAATATCTGAAGCGTAGAACAGTCGAGAGTGGTGCAGACTCAGAGCCTTTCCAACTAAGTTTGCTTCAAAGGTATGACTGCTAAGTTGTTTTTGAAACAAAAATCTTCTATTTATATTTTAACATTGTTCTGTTATACTCTAATTCATTTTTATCTTAGAATCCCCTTGTGAGGGCATTTGAAATCTTTTGAAATGTTTAGCCCTTCCTGGCCTTGGCTTCTTGATCTGGGTAAAACTAAAGAGACTGAGATGAAAATGATATTTTGTAATTTCCCTGAAATTATATATGTATTATTAATTGATACTGTTAAACAAAAAACAGTAGACCCAATAACAACAAAATATTTGAATTTCCCCTTGAGCTTCTTGAGAGTCAGGATCATGTATCAATGGATGTTTGCTGAATTTAAGTGAATCATTAATAAAAAAAATAAAAGCTTTGTTTAATAAATTTACAATGGGTTCCTGAAGTGGGGATAAAATGTTTTTTTGTAAATCAGAAATTTGAAAAATTCATGCAATAATCAGAGCTCAGTATTTAGCAACTCTACAGATGTAAAACATTAACTGTTATGCACTTGTATCAAGGCATACATTATTTTAAAATATACAGTTTCAATTAAAAAAAAAAATCATCTCCAGCTCTATGATGTCACTTTTAAAATCCAAACAACTTTGTTATAATAATCTTTTATTTCATATAAAAGTGTAATTGTACAACAGTTATCAGGAAAGTTGAATACAATATGAAGTGTAGGCTTGGAAGTAGTTTTCAAATCTGTAGCACATATCAAAGAAACCCTATATGATTTACACAGTTGTTCAAGCAAACACAAGAAAACTCTGGTTCAGTTCTATAAACTATCAAAAGGAGAATAAACTACCCTTCTTAAGTCAGTCAAGTTTTGAACAGCAGCTTTTCAACATCACAAAATAAAGATAAATGAAACTTCTATCGTAAAACAGTTTTTAGTTCATAAGTGCTTTGAATACTCTTATTATAGTTAGTTGTTGCTGCAACTGATAATGGTCACTGACAATTCAACAGACCTTTGGTGTAGTGTTCTAAGAAGTCAACAGTAGCAGCAGTAGGAGCATAATATAATAGTTTGGTTATTTCCAGAATCTATAAAATCCCAAGGCTATTGCGAGGCAGGTAAACACTGAGGCTGTGAAAAGAAAAAGCTATGTTACAGGTCATGTATTTGTGATAATTCTGCAGAATAAACAGAATAATGTCATTCTCAACCTAAATAAAGAGCAAAAACCAGAAAATCTAATGAATTGTCTATACTAGGTTTTTCATTCCCTACAAAATTAAACTAAAGATAAAGAATATCCTTATGGGTAGGATTAATACTAATTCTTAAAAACTTCTTGTATTTTAAATTAGAATAAGGATGGCAGTAACTTAAAAAATGTAGATTATATATCTGGTAGAAGCTATAAACAGTATTTAGTCATTAATATTACCATTACTCACAAGACTTCCTTAAATAATTATAAACTCTAACTTTAATCTTATAATAAATAAGACTATCTTTCTTACCTATGTTAAAAATACTACATATTGAGGGTAGTAAATAGACATCCATAGAAGAAAACTTTAATCACCTTTTTGGTACATTTAAAGACAATTTATCTCATATTTATGATCTCTAAATTATTAAAAACTTATAAAAAATGAAGTTTTAATGAAAACTTTTGAAAAAAATTTCTATGAGGTAGAAGTTAAAAGGCAGAAAAAGCATGAGGTTTTAATAGTTAATACACCACCTGCTCTTTATGGTACATCATCTTGGATAGAACACCTTTCTGTTCTCCCAGCTTTAAGAAGCTGAACCTTAGTGAGGCTTTTAGGGACTCTCTAGTTCCTAGTTTGTTCAAACAGCCATGAAAGGATTTTTTTAAATGGAGAATCTGTGAGATGATGGGCAAATTTCTTATGATTAAAGACACAAGAAATCAGCCTTTCAAAGTAAAGCTATCCTAATTATCTCATTTGATCCCACTACTTACTGAAGCTTGGTTAATGACAAGGTCATTTCCTTAATTTTAGGAAATGGGATTAGGTCTTTATAAGATACAGAGAGCAGGTGGGCATTTGAGGAGAAAAATAACATTAACAGAGTTTGTCGTCTTGTTGCCAATAGGCAATTATACATCATTCCAACTGATTTCACTATTCACTGAGTATTTACTACATGCTAAGCAGTGTGCAGGTTTATTTAACCATTATTAATACCCTATGAGATCAGTGCAATTATCCCCATTGTATACATGAGGCAACAAGCTCAAACTTAGATTGTTAGCAAGTGTTGGAGCCAGGATTCAAGCCTAGATGTACCTGACTCCAAAGCTTTTTTTAAAAAACCATTTTGTTATCTTCATTTGTACTGTGTCACCTGAAGGACTCATCTAATCTGTCAATTCTTGAGCCACATAGTGCTATCTAGGTGGTTATATCTTTTGTTAACTCATATAACTGGTAAATTAAGCTGTATACTACCAAATGAACACTTATTGTGAGGAAGGAAGTATTTAATTCCTTTATTAGAGGAACACCACCAAAGTTGTTCTGCATTTAAGTTTTTCTCTCTCATTTCTGTTGTCAGCTGTTCTCTGCTGTTGTGCTTACTCTGAAAGCATCAAAAAACTACTTTTAAATTTGCTATTTAGCTTCTATGGCCTGTCTAGGGAACATCCTACATATATGTAAAATGCTTAAGTGAGCATGTGCCTGGTAAATCCAAAACACTCTGTAAATGTTAGCTTTTATTATTATTTATCTGTCTAGAACAGAATTTGCCATGTTAACTATATAGATTAAATGGGAACTGCCATTATCTTACAGTTTTTGCCTCCTTGGCAGCAGTGATCTGGGCCAGAGTGTGGTGCTTGACCCAAAACGGGCCATTCAGACTCCGGGATTTTTCAAATTGGAACTAAGGAAATGGTAATCTCTCTTGGCTGGTGAAACTGGAATGATAGGAGTCTGAGAGCTACTTACTGGTGGCCATTTTTCCAACTCATGGAGGAAGCTGGTATGAGAAAATGAGGCAGACGTTCAGAGACAAGATGTGAATTCCAATTCCAACTATCTCTGTCCTTCCATAATTCAATGTGCAAGCCAATAAATTCCCTTCTATGCCTAAGCTAGTTCTAATTGGATATATACTGTTAACTGAGAGAGTCCTGATTGATATATGCTGGAAAACCATATAACCTAATCAAGATTTATGATATGACAAAGATGTCTTCTCCAAGGGAAATACAAGGTATTTAATTCTGGGTTTTGAAAGCTAAATTGGGATTTTTTTCCCACTTTTTTTTCCCTGGTGCTCATGACTGAATTCAATATTCTAGGACCTTATGGATCCACCTATGACATTAACTCTGCAGCTGCTGGGAGTGTTGAATTCAGGCTTCCTAAAAGACAACCAGTAACAGAGCAGTAACATATATTTGGAAACAGGGTAGAAAAGGAGAAAGAAAATGCCTTCAGTACTGTTACCTGCAGAAACCCTGGTGGCGTAGCGGTTAAGCGCTATGGCTGCTAACCAAAAGGTCGGCAGTTCGAATCCACCAGGCACTCCATGGAATCTCTATGGGGCAGTTCTACTTTGTCCTGTAGGGAGACAATGAGTTGGGATCGACTCGACGGCAACAGGTTTGGTTTTTTGGTTACTGTTGGTTGCAAATCCTTGGAGAAAAAAGGAAGTGATGATTTAGGAAAGGTCTTTTTCCAGACTTCTAATCTCTTTTGTCACTGCCACCAAGTCCATTAGAGTTTGCCTTGTACATATCTAGTACTGAATGAAAGCTTTCTGAAGACTATCACCATCTTCAAACTGAGGGTAACAAGGATTTTGTTTTTAATTAAGGTATTTATTCTTTAGGTGAATGCTCTGGAGGAAGCTGAGTGGAATTTAAAGCCTTCCCTAACCTGGGTTGCTTTGGGATCTATTCTGAAAGTGGGAATGAACACTGCAAACTGGGCTATTTTGGAATTTTTCCTGAGCACTGACTAAAGGTCTCTGCTTCTGGATACTTTGCTAGAGTAGTGGTTTTCCAAACTTGTTTTAGCCTTAGAACCCTTACTTCAAATGAATCTTAAGCAGGAGCCCAATATTTAAAAAAGACAAAAGTTGAGCCACTCCAGTTGAAGAAGGGAAGAGGGAACGTATCAGATGAGGGCTCCATCTACATCTCTACTGCCGCTCTAACATCAGTGGTGGCTGCCCAGAAAATTACTGATAGTATAAGCTGGAACATCCTTTTTGGAAAGCCATTTGTTAATCTTTATCAAATTTTTAAATGTGCGTTATCTTTTTGACCCAAAATACTAGCATAAGGGCACCAAGATAATAAATGTCTGTGTCTGTGTGGTCTGAACTTATCCAAACACACACATATATATGGCTGTTCAGTGCAGCAATGTTTTTATGAATGAAAAGTTAGAAGTAGAATGTCTACTAATAGAGGATTAGATAAATAAATTATGGAATTTTCATAAAATGAAATGCTATGCTTTCTAATAAAAAGATGTCTATGTGTATTGATGTGGAATGATAAGTCAAGACATTTGGTTAAAGATGTAGACTGTACAATATGATCCAATTATTTTTTAAAAGGCATACATAATGTTATATACAGAAAAAAAAAACAGATATATACTAATAGTAAATATATATTGGGGGGGTTGTGGAAGGCTTTCATTTTTACTATATTGCTTTTGAGTTATCTGCACAATTTATAATGAAAATATATTACTTTTTATAAAAAGAAAGAAAAAACAAAAACACTACTTGAATAGGGCATTCTTCCTAAGTTTTTGGAACCCTGTAATTGGGTCATGTCATATGGTACCTCACAAGCTCAGTATGTGATAAATAATCTAGTTTTTAGGTAGTATCTGTGGCTCAGTGAGTTGCATTCAAGGTAGGAGGTTATTATTATTTTTTCCTTGCTTGTTATGGTTTTTAATTGCCTGTATCTACTTTAAGGATCTTTGTTGGTGTTGTTAGTTGCCATCTAGTTGATTCCGACTCATGGTGACCCCATGTGTGCAGAATAGCACTGCTTCATAGGGTTTTCAAGGCTGTGACCTCTTGGAATTAGATCGCCAGGCCTGTCCTCTGAGGTGCCTCTGGGTGAGTTCTAACTACCAACCTTTTGACTAGTAGTCAACCGCTTAACGGTTTGCACCACCCAGGCAGTCTCTGTAAGCCTGCTCAAGTCCTTATGGAAATACTTAAACAATAAAAACAAAATTTTTACTTTTTCAATTGTGGAACATCCAATTTATCCTTCCATTATTTTGTGCTTGTGTTTTTATATTTACTTGATATTCATATGCTGTTTCTATTACCAAGTTGTAGAGTTGCCTGTTAAACTTGTATCCTAAGACTAGAACCTTCGTTAAGCACTGCAGGAGACCAAGCAAAAAAGCAGCTGTGATAGCCCCTCCTTTTTCCTTCTGTGCTGACATGGTTCCACTGGAAGACAGGAGCTAACAGGTCTGAAAATTAAATGACAGTAATTTCTTTCTCTGACAAACAGCCTTACCTGCAAGATAACGAATTGTCTCAAGTTTGTTAGATTCCATCAGTGTTTTTAAGGAAGCAATTTCAGTGTCAATTTTATTACTGGTCTCTGAAATAACACTTTTGGTTTGATTATCCTGTAATAAATAAGAATAAATAAGACAACTAAATTTTGTCCTTCTGTATTATGAACAAAAAACTTTTACATTAGAAACCCTCACTTATGGGTTAATTATACATTACAAAAGTCTTAATTGGGGAGACAGTAAAAACATGGCAGTATTAAAAAATAACATTAAATGAACACTACAATTAACAAAACACATTCTTTCTATTTTGATATTTGGGGACTATTTATTAGGATTACCATATACTGAGAACATTCTACTAAAAGCCTCATGGTAAGATATAAAAGTGGATAAACTGGGAAGCAAAATTTTAGTCACAGAACCATCACTTTATGTGTGTAAATTCCTTAGGATATCAATGGTTAATACTTCAAATATATTCTGCAAAAGAAAAAAAATCAACAAGGTTTATAATATGAACTAACATCAATACTAAACGAACTGGCTGAAATATGTGATGGGTAATACTGAATGCTATGTGTATAGGAACCAACGGATAGGAGAAATAAGATGGTACCTACAGCTCAAACTAGCTGTGAGAGAAATTGTTGATCTCCTTGTTTATCTCCTATATCTGGTCAAGAAGTGAGAGAAGAGAATAAGATCCTTGGAAGGCAAATGGGACCTTCTCTCTTCTATTAAATTACGAGCAAAAAATAGTGATGTCTCTCCTGTTAGATTTTAGACCAAATAGCTTTTAAGAAAAGGATTAGGCTGAGTCAGAAAGCTGGGTTTTATTCAAGCTGTAGAGATTAAGTGATTATTACAATTTAGAATTCCTGAGAAGGTAAGTAATAGTTATGAATATAGGGTTTAGAACCTAGGTTCATATCCCAATTCTACCATTTATTAGTTGTGTGACCTTAACTTCTCTGTGCCTCATTTTGCGCACTGCTAAAATGGGAATAACAGTTCCTACCTCATAGGGGCTGATGTGGGGGAGGATTAAATGAGTTAACAGACAGGAAAAACTGATAAAACAGCATCTGGCACCTAATAAGCAGTCAATAAATATTTACTATTATTTAAAAAAAATTTAAGACAAATACTTGTCATTCAGTTATCATTTAAATGCTAATTGTGGATCACTTTTATGAATATAGTAAATCCTTGTCTTTTAAAAAAGTTATTTTCTACATAAAAATAATTTAGTTAAAAAAAGAAAAAAGTACACTATGTAGAAAGCTTGGTTCTGACTCAGAGGTCACAGCTCAGGTACTACCATCCACCATTCACCTGGTGGCAGCTTCCCAGAAGTGCTGACTATAATAGCTATGAGGAAACCATGGATTCTATAGGGCTAGCTTTTAAAGTCCAAGCCTACAAGATGATATACATAAAAGCAGTTACACAAGGCCAAAGAATGGATCAAGAGAGAAATTTTTAGAGTAGCTCACCTTTTTGGTAAATTCTGTGGTCGCTTCCATAAGTTTCTTTTCTTGATCTGTAAACTAAAGGATATGAGACAGTGGCAGGTTTGGAAAAAAACACGAAATTTAATTTAAAAAATTAAAAAGGAGTAATATAATATGAACTAACATCAATACTAAACGAACTGGCTGAAATATGTGATGGGTAATACTGAATGCTATGTGTATAGGAACCAAAGGATGGGAGAAATAAGATGGTACCTACAGCTCAAACTAGCTGTAAGTAAGTTCAAAAGCACATTACCATATCTGTTACTCTGCTCCTTTCTAGGTTGATGTCCAGTTTATTATCTGCTCTGATTCGACTGGTTTCATTCTTTAAAGAAAATAAGATATTAAAAAATGATTATTTTAATGAATATTCTGAAATTAAAATGTTGAGGTAGGAAAACATTTCACTTACTATCAGTTGCTGTTTAACTTGGTCTAATTCAATTTTCATTTTCTAGGTATAAAAAAGATCATACACAATTAGCATTAAAAGTCTATATTATGATTGATTCAGAAATTCTGAAGACCTAAATTAGCAAAAGTTGGATGACTTCTGGATTTCTAAGGCAGAATTTGATCAAAAAAAAAAAAACTAAAAAAGAACCAAAAAACCAGCATATTCAGAAAATAATTCTTATGAGCAAAACATTAGAAAATGCATTTATGCTTCAGTATTAAATTCTATTTAAAAAAATAATTTTCTAAATTAAAAAAAATTTAAGTGAATAGATTAACATAACTTAAAATTCTAATTATAAAAGCACAATTTTCTCAAGTGATGAAGACAATTAGTACAGGATCAAATAAAATGGAAAATGCCACATTACTTTCAGCTCTGAGAACACTATCAGGTATACTAGAAATTTTGTGTAATGTATAGAACTCAAACATTTTCCTTTTATGTGACTTTCATTTATATGGGTACAACTCTTATTCAGTATGCAAAAAATCATGATTTACACATAAAAAAGATTAGATATGGTTAAATATACAGTAAACTCACTCCTCACCGACATGGTTTGGTTACAAAGACGAGATCATTTATAGGAGTTGGGGCCTCGTCTTTGGCACCAGTGGGGTGTGCTCTCCCCCTCTCTGTCATTCACTGACTGTTGGGGCAGCCTCAGAGCATCTCAAGCCCCCCTTCCCTACCATTGCAGAGCCCACGGGGATTGGGGGGGTGGGGGTGGGGTGCCCGCTGCCTCCAGAGCAGCAGGTGACAACCATCACCTGACTATGCTCCAGGCCTCAGCACGAACCCCCATGCCTCGCCTCTCCACCTTCCGCTCCGCTGGCCCTCGAGACCAGCCTTGGCAGCAGGCAGCAAGTGAGGGCTGGCCACCTAGGTCCTGCGGAGGCTGTGGAGGTGGCAGAGTCCTCCTTAGAATGAGAGACTTCTGAGCCCTCCCCCCTCCCCCCCAAACTCCTGCCTCCTGTGCTCCTTTTGTGGGCTGGCCCGCCTCTCTGCTGGCTCCTCCGCCCGACCCAGGTAAGACCCAGGTGGCCTCGCTTCTTCTCACTGACCTCGCACTCCTCCTCCTCCTCCTTCCCCTCTCGCCTTGGCTTCTTGTTTATGTGCAAAATAGTCGGAAAATACATTTTTTACTATTATTGTAAATCTGAAATATCAGATAGTGAGATACTTGGTAAGTGAGGAGTATGTGTGTATCTAAAAATTTGTTAATAACCACGTATAATTGCTATTTGGTCCTATTAACCTATTCACCAAATAGGACACCTGTGAAATCAAGGTAGGTTATTAGTAATTTAACACTTGTATCACCTCGTTCTCTGCTCTCAGATTTGCAAATTCACTTTTCTCTAGGATGACCATATCTTTTCTAATGGAGTCCAAATGAGCCATTAACTGTTGTACGGTTACTTCCTAGAAAACAAGATAAAAATAACTTAGTGATCTGTAAAATGCCATCCTTTTATGGAATTATTGTTTTCATGAAATTTAATAGTAGTTGTTAACACGCTATGAGGTATAATGTTGCCTAAGTTAAAAACAACAAAACTTATAAAACCTGTTTACTTATGGAATACCAAAATGAAAAGGAGCACAAGATTCAAAGAAGAAAAAGTATTTTCCAGTGAAAAGAAATAAACGTCTAGGTCTTTTTATGAAAAGAATCTCAATAAAATGCTTAGCTTTTGTTGTCTTTCAATGCTTTGATTTGTGGGCTTTTCCACCATCGGAAAATTCCAGGGCATTGTGTAAGATTTAGAAGTCAGGTAGTAAAACAAAATAAGTAGAAGTATGGTTTATATAATTACCCCTTGTCAGTATAATTATTTTCATTTATTTTAGTTTTTTTTTGTGCTTTAGGTTAAAGTTTATAGCTCAAGTTAGTTTCTCATACAAAAATTTATACATTGTTATGTGACCCTAGTTGCTATCCCTATAATGTGACAGCACACTCCTCCTTTCCACCCCGGATTTCCTGTGTCCATTCAACCAGCTCCTATCCCTTTCTGCCTTCTCATCTTGCCTCCGGCCCGGAACTGCCCGTTTGGTCTCGTGTATATACTTGAACTAAGAAGAACACTCTTCACGAGTATCATTTTATGTCTTATAGTCCACTCTGATCTTTGAAGAGTTGGCTTCTGGAATGGTTTTAGTTCTGGGTTAACAGAGAGTCCAGGGGCCATGTCTTCTGCGGTCCCTTCAGTCTCTGTTACACCATTAAGTCTGGTCTTTTTACTAGAATTTGAGTTCTGCGCCCCACTTTTCTCCTGCTCCATCAGGGACTCTCTGTTGTGTTCCCTGTCAGGGCGGTCATTGGTAGTAGCTGTGCACTATCTAGTTCTTCTGGTCTCAGGCTGTTGGAGTAGCCAGTTTATGTGGCCCTTTCTGTCTCCTGGGCTAATATTTTCCTTGTGTCTTTGGTGTTCTTCATTCTTCTTTGCTCCAGGTGGGTTGGGACCAACTGATGCATCTATCTTAGGTGGCCACAGGCTAGCTTTTAAGACCTCAGATGCCACTCATCAAAGTGGGATGCAGAACATTTTCTTAAACTTTGTTATGCCAGTTGACCTAGATGTCCCTTGAAACCATGGTCCCCAGACCCCCACCCCTGCTACTCTGTCCCTTGAAGTGCTTGGTTGCGTTCAGGAAACTTCTTAGCTTTTGGTTTGGTCTAGTTGAGCTGACTTCCCCTGTATTGTATATTGTTCTTGTCTACTATCTAGTGAATTCCCCTCTCCCTCCCTCCCCACCCTTGTAAACATTAAAGAATGTTTTCTTCTGTGTTTAAACCTTTTCTTGAGTTCTTGTAATAGTTGTTTCATACAATATTTGTCCTTTTGTGACTAATTTCACTCAGCATAATGCCTTCCAGATTCATCCATGTTATGTTTTGCAGATTCATCATTGTTCTTTATCGTTGTGTAGTATTGCATTGTGTGAATATACCATAATTTGTTTATCCATTCATCCGTTGACAGGCACCTAGGTTGTTTCCATCTTTCCATGTGAACAGTACTGCAGTGAACATGGGTGTGCAAATACCTATTCGTGTGACGGTTCTTATTTCTCCAGGATATATTCCAAGGAGTAGGACTGCCAGATTGTAAGGCACTTCTATTTCTAGCTTTCTAAGGAAGCACCAAATCAATTTCAAAAATTTACATTCCCAGCAGCAGTGTATAAGTGTTCCAGTCTCTCCACCACCTCTCCAACATTTATTATGTTTTTTGGATTAATGCTAGCCTTGTTGGGGTGAGATGGTATCTCATTATAGTTTTGATTTGCATTTCTCTAATGGCTAATGATCGTGAGCATTTCCTCATGTATCTGTTAGCTGCCTGAATGTCTTCTTTGATGAAGTGTCTGTTCATATCCTTTGTCCATCTTTTAATGGGGTTATTTGTCTTTTTGTGGTTGAAGTTTTACAGTATCGTGTTGATTTTAGAGATTAGACCCTGATCAGATATGTCGTAGCCAAAATTTTTTTCCCAGTCTGTAGGTTGTCTTTTGACTCTTTTGGTGAAGTCTTCTGATGAGCTTAAATGTTTGATTTTTAGGAGCTCCCAGTTATCTAGTTTCTCTTCTGGTGTTTGTGCATTGTTACTTATAGTTTGTATTCTGTTTATGCCATGTATTAGGGCTTCTAGCGTTTTCCCTATTTTTTCTTCCATGATCTTTATCGTTTTAGATTTTATATTTAGGTCTTTGATCCCGTTTGAGTGAGTTTTTGTACATGGTGTGGGGTACGGATCTTGTTTCATTTTTTTGCACATGGATATCCAGTTATGCCAGCACCATTTGTTAAAGAGACTGTCTTTTCCCCGTTTAATTGACTCTGGGCCTTTGTCAAATATCAGCTGCTCACAGATGGATGAATTTACATCTGGATTCTCAGTTCTGTTCTATTGGTCTATGTATCTATTGTTGTACCAGCACCAGGCTGTTCTGACTACTGTGGCAGTATAATAGGTTCTAAAATCTAGCATAATTATTTTGCTTAAATTTCTGGATATTCTTTCTATATTTGGCACTATATAAAGAATATGTGAAAGAAAATATGGCCTCTACCTGATTGATTTATAAGCTTTCCTTTGCTAGGGAGAGACATTTCTATAGAAATGATTTAAGGCAGCCTTACAAGGAAAATAAAACTGTTTCCACTAAACTTCTTAAAATTAGGTAGCTAGCTAACCATCATTTATCCTTCTTACCAAAAGAAAAAGTAGATGAGTACATAAGCTCAAAAGGGATCTTCAGAATAGGATTTAAAAACATACAAAAAACCCAAAACAAAAGATCATTAGCTGGAACTCCTTTTTTTTAAGTCACAATTTGTGGCCAGGGTGCATTGTTGGTTGCAGTCATCCATTGACTGACTTGATTTTTAGAAAACAGGCTGTAACAGTTCCAGACACATGACCAAAAAAATGACTTAAGTCTTCAAAGGGTTTGGTATGCACACATCTTCCCTATTATGAACTGTGTCCCCCGAAAATGTGTGTCAACTTGGCTAGGCCATGATTCCCAGTATTGTGTGGTTGTCCACCATTGTGTGATCTGATGTGATTATCCTATGTGTTGTAAATCCTACCTCTATGATGTTAATGAGGCAGGAGTAGAGGCAGTTATGTTAATGAGGCAGGACTCAATCTACAAGATTAGGCTGTACTTTGAGTCAATCTCTTCTGAGATATAAAAGAGAGAATCAAGCAGAGAGAAGAGGGACCTAATACTACCGAGAAAGAGGTGCCAGAAGCAGAGCATGTCCTTTGGATCTGGGGTCCTTCTGCTGAGAAGCTCCTAGATCAGGGGAAGACTGATGACAAAGACCTTTCCCAGAGTTGACAAAGAAAGAAAGCCTTACCCTAGAGCTGGTGTCCTGAACTTCTAGCCTCCTAAACTGTGAGAGAATAAATTTCTGTTTGTTAAAGCCATCCACCTGTGGTATTCCTGTTACAGCAGCACTAGATAACTAAGACATTCCTCAGCAATAATTTTCAGATGATGGCACAGTCACATGAAGTAGAAGTTAAAAAGTATAAGTGAGTTCTGGAGTCAGGCTGTCTAGGTTTGAATTCAAATCCTGTGAGAGACTTTCATCAAGTTATTTACCTTTTTTGACTTTCTCACCTGTAAAATGAAAATAACAGTACCTACACCTTATAGGGAGTCCCTAGATGGTGCAAACAGTTAAGCATGCAACTACTAGCTGAAACGTTGGTTCAAACCTGCCTAGAAGCACATCGGAAGACATGCCTGGAGATCTGCTTCCAAAAGGCCATAGCCTTGAAAATCCTATGGAGCAGTTCTACTTTGCACACATGGGATTGCCATGAGTCAGAATTGATTTGATGGCAACAACAAAACACCTTACAGAGATGTTATGAAGATTAAATAATGCACGTAAAATGTTGAAACTCTGTACAAGTTAAATGAACAATCCACTGCTGTCAAGTCGATTCCAACTCACAGTAACCCTACAGGACAGAGTAGAACTGCCCTATAGGGCTTCCAAGGAGCAGCTGGTGGATTCGAATTGCCAACTTTTTGGTTAGCAGCTGAGCTCTTAACCACTGCACCACCAGTTAGCACTCAATAAATGTTAGCTACTATTATTACCAATGGGACAGGGCTCTAATGGCTGAAGCAGGACACTCTGATTCCAATGTTTTGATGTGGAGAAATTTTAAATATTAATCCCATCATGATATAATTATTTTTATTTTATGTAACAGACATCTCTGATTTATGCATTCTTCCGAACCCTCATCCATTATTAATGGGGAGGGAATTAATTTTCTTTTATTCAGTTCTGCTTGAAATATTCATGAGAATTATTTCAGAAGTCATTTAGGAGTAGCCTCCAGTGGTTGTCAGTCCTTTTCACCCAAATACCATTATAGAGGATTTCTACAAGATTGAATACAATGTAGTTATAAAGTAAAACCCATGAAAGCCAGAACCTGCATAAGGCAGAAACCTGTCAGAGAAGGAAAGTGCGAATATTTCCCACTAAAACAAGCGATAGAGAAGTGGTAAGACTGCAGTCTGTCAAAGGCAGAAAACTTGCCAGACCTGGAAAAAAAAGGCAGTCCGTATCGAGTTCCGGCTCTCACAGGTTTCACTGTGAGAACAGTTCAACATAGAGAATGTAGTTCAACATACAGAACAGTTGAAAACGTAATTTTGAGAGTAAGGGTTGTATTGTGGCCCTAATAGACTCTCTTCATCCCCCTGCATGCCTTTAAATATAGTTTGTGACTCAAAAAGTTTACAAAACAGTATAGGTGCCCATCTTTAAAGTAGTCAAATCTATTAAAAGTGTGATCACTATAACTATTGTAAAGCCATGAGACAATATGAATATAATTCAGATTATTAGTAAATTCAGAATATAATAAAATTCTAAGATTGAAAAGACGTGATTAAGATGTTCCCTACCCGTTTTTTTAAGCAATATTTTCAATGTTTTTGGTGAAAGTTCACATAGCAAGTTAGGTTCCCGTTTGACAATTTCCACACGAACTGATCAATGACATTAGTTACATTTTTCATATTGTGTCAACATTCTCTTTGTGTTCTGGTTGTTACATTTCCAGAACTCTAGTTTCCGGGCCCCTTCATCTTCTCATCTTCGCTATGGATTAAATGTTGACCTTTTGAACTCATACAAAGGGTTTTTTAGTAGAGCATCAATCTAACAGGTAATATCTTTTATTTTGTGTGTCACTCTGCGTATTTGCTAAAAGGTGATCTCAGGGAATAGTTTTGGTTCAAGACTTAAAGAGTGTCTCAGGGCGGTAGTCTCAGGGCGTCCTCTGATCTCAGCTGGTCCAGTTAGTCTGGCTTTTTTTTTAAGAATTTGAGTTTCGTTCTGCATTTTTCTCCTGTTCTATCCAGGATCATCTATTGTGACCCCTGTCAGATCCGTCAGTGGTGGTAGCCAGCCACCATCTAGTTCTTCTGGTCTCAAGGTAGTTGAGGTCGTGGCTTGTGGACGCTGAGCCTTGTAGACTTGCTTCTCCTCTGAGATTCTGGTTACCTTCTCACGCTTTTGCTAGGATGGCCTTTTCTGAAGTGATCAAGGATGTGGCTTGATTGTCTGATGGCCCTAAGCCTCAGCCCTGTCCTTCATGCCATCTTTGTGCCTTATCTGACCCTATAGGTGAGGTCAGCGATGGGGTCAGCCTCAGGGATGGGATGAGATTTTAACTTCGCACACTAAATAATTTAAAAAGTCTAGAGTTTAATAATATTCTTATTTCCATTCCTACATTTTGGATATAAGATTAAACAGGCCTGGCAGCCATAAAAATTTCTCAAAATGAAGTTACAATTCACTAGTTATACTATGTTGTTGTATGCTGTTGGGTCGATTCCGACTCATAATGACCCTATACAGAGTAGAACTGCCCTACAGGATTTCCTATAATTTTTACAGGAGCAGATCGCTAGGTCTTTTCTCCTGTGGAGTGGCTGGTTGGTTCAAACCACTGACCTTGCAGTGAGCAGCTGAGTGCTTAACCACTGTGCCACCAGGGCTCCTTATTATAGGAAACCTTAAAAATGTAAGAGTAAATTACATTACTGCAAATGTCAGTAGCTCCTCATAGTTCTTTCAGGATAGCTCAGAGCTTTGGGGGAATTAGATGCTTGGTATTCTCTTTAGTGGAAGTGGTAGTCTGCTATCATCCTGAAGAAATTAAGCTAAAACAATGTATACACAAATTTAGAGTAAGTTAAATCTAGGGATTGAATGCTTTTAATTCTAAATGTCTAATTAATCAGAGATTTCAGTAAAAATTTTAAAAATCTTTAGAATCCTCCCTGATCTTTAAAGTAAATAAAATTTATGTGAGAGATTATAATTTTATGTAAGAATCATAAATTTCTGTTTCTGCTGTTAAATATTTTTCTGAGGAAGAAAGCCTAAATTTGGAAAGTTAAAATTTAAGAAGTATAATCATAGGAAGAGGTGAATTAATTCAGGACTGAGAGACTGAATTTTTATTCCATAGTTAAGCTCCATATATCCTTATTTAGCTTATTTATCCTTTATATAAACTTTATGCTTTTTGTTCTTATGTGTATTTTAATTGTGAATACTTTAAAATTCATATGGCATAATGAGGAAAATGGAAGGGTTTTAAGAGCAGAGGCTTAATTAAAAAGCTCTGGAGTTTGAATCCTAGCATACCACAATGACAACTCTTAAAAATTATTCAACCTCTCTGAGCAAATAGTGGCAAAACAGAATAATTCTATCTACTTGTCCGAGTTATTAGGGGGATTAAATGAGGTAATATATGAGAAGTACTCAGCACTGTGCCACTTACATTGTAAGTGCTTAGTAAATGCCATTAAATATGACCTTAAGGATTTGTGTATCCAGTCAAATAAAGCCTCTTGGCCAGGTGATTTACGATATCCCTCCCAGCCATATAGTCTATAAAGTCCCTTTTAGCTTTTTAAGTCTATGAAAAGTAACCAGAACAAATATGACTGTAGTAAGAGTATTTATTATATACTAAGGTCAGCTCTTCAACTGTGTGGGAAAAGTTACTGCACTAACAATTTACCACCATCTCATGAGTCAAACACTATAATCTCACACAGTTAAAAGATTTTACAAAATCCTATTCTCTGTGTTACTACAATGTTTTTATGATTATTTTAACTCCTAAGCTTCTACCTCTACTAAAGGTTTTTAAAAAATTTGGGGCCCTAGTGGTATAGTGGTTAAGCATTTGGCTGCTAACCAAAAGGCTGGCAGTTCAAATCCATCAACCACTTCTTGGAAATCCTATGGTGCAGTTCTACTCTGTCCTGTAGGATCGCTATGAGTCAGAATCTACTTGACGGCAGTGGGTTTGGTTTTTGGTTTAGGGAGCACAGCAAGGAAGATGGGTCAGTGGCTAGAGTTGTGGTTACAAAAAAGATTATCTATTGAAAATGTCAGAATTGAAAAAAATGAATGTATTACCTGTTGAGCTTGAGTGACCATTTCCTTATAGATAGTATCCAGGCTGACATTCGATAAACTGCTTAAGGCTGATACAATTGTTTCTGCTTGTGCTTTGTCAAATCCTGTAAGCAGCAAATAGGTGTTTATATACTTTTTAGAAATCCACATCCTTATGAGAATAGATGGAAAATTTTTCAACATTTAAATTATACTCTTTTAAAAATGTGTATAATTAAAAATTTGACAGATAATGCTGAATTATTCTCTAAAATTTCAATTCTCACTGGCCTGTTTCCCCACATCTGCATCAACACTGGATATTACTTCTTTATTATTGAATATATAACAGGCATTAAAATATCACATTGTTATTTTAATTTTTACTTAAAATCTGCATTTCCTTGGTTGGTAGTGAGGTCAACCATCTTTACATATGTTTATTGGTTATATTTATTTTATGTGAACTGTTTATAGTCTTTGCTCATTTTCCTGTAATAATACTGTTGAACTTTTTCTTATTGATTCATAAGAACTCTTTATAAAGAAATAGGCTCATTGTCATTTGTGTTGCTAACATTTTAGACTTTATGGATGGCATACTTTGATATACAGATTTAAATGTTTCTGTAATCACATCTGTTAGTCTTTACTTTCACTGGTTTTGACTTCTATGTTTTGTGTCCTCACTTTGAGTATAAAAATAGTCTGTATTCTAGTACTTTTTGTAATTGTGTCTTTCATTTTTACATTTAGCTTTTAATCTGGAGTTTATTTTTTAGGAAGGGAATCTTTTTTTTTCCCCTTAGTCATTTATTGTATCTCATTTATTCACTAGCCCCTCTTTTCCCTCATTTGAAATGCCTTCTTTATCACATGCTAAATTCATATATATATATATATATGTTTCTAAATTCCATTCTGTTCTATCAATCTACTTTTCTGTTCCTGTAACAATAGACATCATTTAAATTACTGTTTTGATATCTGGTTATATATATATTTAATACTCTTGCACATTTGTACTTCTGCATGAACTTTGGTATCAGCCTCCAAGCTCTATAGTTTTTCTTTTCGTTTTTACATAATTGGAAGCATGTTACACGTATAGTTTTATATAACTGCTTTTTCACTTAATGTCTCTTGAACATTTCTCCTATCAGTAAATATCTTAAAGCAATACATTTTTAATGACTGCAAAATATTCCACTGTACAAACACTACTCATACTCCTCACTTATCGACTATCTCATTATCTGAACTTGCAATTTATGACAACAGTAAAAATTCTACTATTGACTATTCTGCGCATTAACGACATACATCTGGCAGTAACCAAAAGCCAAGGTGTAAGTTGAGAATAATGCTGGCTATGATGGTTAAGGTTATGTGTCACCTTGGCTGGGCCATGATTCTCACTGGCTTGGCAGTTATGCAATTTGACAGTTATGTGATGATGTAATTTGGCAATTATGTAACAACATAGTCATCTTCCATTTTGTGATATAATGTGATCATCTTCCATTTTTGCATAATGCTGATTTTTACATAACGACCTGGTCTTTGGAACCTAACCAGGTCTATGAATGAGGAGTGGGCGTTACTATTTAAATAGTCATTTTCAACCGTTCATAATAGTAATATTGTTTTGACTATGTAATTTATTATTATATGAATACTGTTAATCTTCTTTTTTAAAGACAGTCATGTTTCTCACCATGAGTTTCCAAGTCTTGAACCAAAGCATGCGTATCAAAAGTTAATCTCCTTTGCTCTAAAGGAGTTATGTCCACTTGCCTGACATCATATCCTTCCTTGGTTGTTGTGGTTAAGAAGTCTGAAAAGAGAAGATAATGGGTTTTTTCTTATAGTAACTAAGAGAGGTATTACATTTTAGGTTCTAAAGTATTTTCCCCATATACTTAGTTCCAGCTCTTCTTTAATCTCAAGCAAGTTAACTGATTTCTCTGAGCCCCTGCCTCTTTTATCTGAGAAGTTTCTATTATTCTGCACATACCAAACAATCAAGAAGTATTTCCTTTTCCACTTTTAGCATTCAGAAATGTCGTTAGTCTAAAATCATAATATACATCAAATGCTTTGGGTATCACTGCCTCATCTCTAATTACTGGAAAGTAGAAACTGCCCAATTCTCCTTATTGCTCAGTACAGCTACAAATTTTTTTTATTCTTATAGCCTATCTAAAGTAGCCTTCTCTACTCCCACTCTTACACATCCCAAAATTTATTTCCTACATAATTCTCAGCTTTCATCTGAAATTATCTTGCTTGCTTATTGTCTCTCTGAACAGAATGTAAGCTCTATGAGGACTTCACTGTCTTTTTCACTACTGTACCTCCAAAACCTAAAACGGTGCTTGAAACATTATAGGATCACAATATTTTATTGCTGAATCAATGAATTAAATTTTAAATCCTGGAGTATTTACTGGTGTCAACATAGGAGCCCCAGGAACAATTTCTCACTTTCAAAATAACCTTTTGTCCTCTTTCAATAAATTCCCAATTTCTAATCTAGATACAATAGTCCTTTTCACAGTATACTGCTGATGAATTTTTTAAAAAAGTATTTGCTTTTGGTGAGAATTTTGTCCATATATAACTTCATTACTATTGCTGTGTATTAAGTGAAATAACTTCTAATTAGTGTAACTACTAATTGAACACAAGTACTGTACTAGATACTTTAATACTACCATAGCAAAGTAGTAGTATTCACATTTTTAGATATGAAAACTGAGCCTAGGTAAAGGTAAACAGATTTGCTTATGGTCAGAGAGTCACTGGCAGTCAGGATTCAAACTCAGGCTCATCTGACTCCAAAGCTCATGCTTTGTCACCCTATGCTGTGTTTCTTATTTATCCTAAACCACTTAATATGTCCAGGTACTTAAAAGACATAGCTGCAACCTCAGGTATTATTTTTCTGCTAGTATAGCATACAGCAAATGTGATCCCTTCCTATACGTCTTTCCAACGGAGAGGTTGGAGACTTAGGTCTACCCAGAGGTACCTCAGAAGTTGCAACTGGTTTTAATATCTTAAAAGTCTAAGTCCATCATAATGTGGACTTTTGTTAAACACTCAACTATCTAAACAAAGGCCTTGCAAATGGCATTGGCAGCTAAACAGCTGTTTTACAGATGGGAGGTTAACAACTGCAATCTTGACTGCAGCTGGTTGGTGTGAGTAAAACGAAAACAAAAATTTAAAAACAGCACAGGTAAGTGTGGAAGTGGGAAAGGGATGATGTGCTTGGATGCTGTTTACCTGGCAATGAAGATTCAGGAAGGTGAACAAAGAATGCTAAAGCTGATACAAAGTACCTACTTTGCAGACAGCGTTTGAAAAAAGAAAAAGAAAAAAAAAAAATGCTGGAAACGTCTTTTAGCACAAAGTCACACATCCTTCAGGACACAATGCAAACACATAGTGTGACAGGTAGGTGGGCACTTGTAGGCTAGCACCTAAATAACGGTGTCAAGTTTAAAAGGCCATGAAATACACGCATTACTTTACGTTTGCTCCTGACAGACCTGCAAGAGGGCAGGGACTGGCCCCGTTTGACAGAAAAGAAAACAAGAACACCAAGCTTTCAGAGAATCGCTCTCGGCACAGAGGTCCTCGGTCCTCTTTCCAGTCCGCATCCCTCCCGCCCCCGGGTCCAAGAGCTGGGTCTCCAGCGCTCGGGGCAGGACGGGGAAGAGGGCGTGGCACTCTCGCTCCCGCTCGCCAGCGAACGCACGATACACAGGAGTCATTTCCCTACGTTGCAGCTTTGGCATCGATGACACGCTGCCTTGTCTCACCTCTCCGCAGGACAAGCGAGAAACGTCTGCGGTGCGGAGAAATCCGGTAGCCCCCTCTGCCATCACAGCGCAGGAACCGTAAAGCCCAGCCACTCCTCATGTCCCCAGTTCTCCAGTTGGCGGGAGGAGGCGGAAGTCTGGATGGCTCACGCACAGGCTTTTGGGAAAGATAGTTCCGTCACCGCATGGATGCTGGGAAATGTACTTTTTGGCCTATCACATAACCCACCCCGGCACAGGCTCAAACCGCGAGCTGGGCCTCTTTACCGATAGAGCACGGTTCATTAGCATGGTTCAGAGCTGTTCTGGTTTCTCCTACCACCCCTTCCCCACCCGTGCATATCTTTACCGCCCTAAGAAAACGGGACCTTCTCGGAGAACCGTCCAGTCCGTTTCTTAGCGATGAAGTGCAGTCCAACAGCAAACTTTCTCCAACCGCCAGCCATTATGTGCTTGGGTCGGTGGAAAGCAGTCAGGTGTCGCCGCACAGCAACCTGGGACCTGTAGTCCTCGGCCGCTGAGCGCCCAGGTCCACAAGACCTTCTGGGAAATGTAGGCCAAGGAGCAGATCGTTCTTCCTGCTGCACCATCGTGCTGCTTCGCCCACTAGTGCACAGGAGGGCAAACATTATTAGTTGACTTAATTCCTCTCTTCAGAGAAACCGAATTCCTCTATCTCTAAGATAATTTCCACCGTCGGAATCGAATTGGCGGCAATGGGTTCACCCTCTCAGACATGAGTTACTTCAGACTGCTCCAAATGGTAAAATGCAGTAAATAACCGTACACAGTTGTTGTGATGTTCAAATGTGTTCTTTGTAAATCCTAAAATGGTACACAACCGTTAGGCTTTGGTGGCTTAATTGTTCTTAAAAGGCTGAAAACAATTATGGCTAGATTTCCCTACGGTATGTATTCAGAACTTACTTTGTGAGTGTGTGTTATGCAACAAGCACCATTCTAAGCACTGAGGCACACTAAAACTTGATTCCCTCCAGCAAGGGCTTGAACAATTCATGGAAAGGAAATATAAATGGCTATTAAAAAACTAGAAACAAAAAAGTTTAACCTCATTAGTAAAAAAAAATAAATAAATAAAAGCAAAACGTAAATATACATCATTTTTACCTATCAGAGATTTTTTTTTTTAAATGATAATGTTAGGTGCTGGGAAATAATGTAATTAGGTACAGGCACTCATGCAGCTGACAGGAGTGTAAATTAGTACAATATATTTTAACAAAATTTAATAATATCTATAAATCTTTAAGAAGTAAATAGCCAGAATTCCACTTCTAAGAATTTATCCTAAGAAAATAATCACAGCGGTGGCTAAGATTTGTAAAGTGACTCTTGAAATGCTATTTATAATAGTGAAAGAATTGGAAATAATCTAAATATACAAAAATAATTCAATAACTTGAAGAAATATAACCAAGTTGGGATGTTATACAATCATTAAGTATTGTATTTTTTAATAATTTTACAGCCAGGAAAATTCTTATAATATTAACATATATGTTGTTGTTAGGTGCCGTCGAGTCGGTTCCAACTCATAGTGACCATGTGTACAACAGAAAAAAACACTGCCAGGTCCTGGGCCATCCTCACAATTGTTGTTGTGTTTCAGCCCATTGTTGCAGCCACTGTGTCAATCCATTTCATTGAGGGTCTTCTTTTTTGCTGACCCTCTTTCTTACCAAGCATGATGTCCTCCTCCAGGGACTGGTCTCTCCTAAAAACATGTCCAAAGTACGTAAGATGAAGTCTCGCCATCCTCGCTTCCAAGGAACACTCTGGCCGTACTTCTAAGACAGATTTGTTCATTCTTTGGCAGTCTGGTATATTCAGTATTCTTCGCCAACACCATGATTCAAAGGCAACAATTCTTCTTCGGTCTTAAATGACTAATTCTGTTAAATGGTATGATCTCTGCTCTGGAGGAGCTCATAGCCTAGAGGAAGATACCTGCTGCCGTTGAGTCGATTCTGACTCATAGTATCCCTATGTACAACAGAACAAAACGTTGCCCAGTCTTGTGTCATCCTCATGATCATTGGCATGTTTAAATTCATCATTTTGCCTGTTGTGTCAATCCGTCTCACTGAGGGTCTTCCTTGCCCTCGTAGGCCCTTTGCTTCACCAAACACGATGACCTTCTCTAGCTGTTGATCCCCCCTGATGACATTTCCAAAGCAAGTGAGTTGAACAATTTTCTGTTGTGGTCTGTCTTGGTTATCTAATGCTGCTATAACAGAAATACCACAAGTGAATGGCTTCAACAAACAGAAGTTTATTCTCTCACAGTCTAGGAGGCTAGAAGTCCAAATTCAGGGCATCAGCTCCATGGGAAAACTTTCTCTTTCTGTCAACTCTGGAGGAAGGTTCTTGTCACCAATCTTCCCCCGGACTAGGAGCTTCTCAGTGCAGGCACCCTGGGTCCAGAGGACATGCCCTGCTCCTGGAACTACTTTCTTGGTAGTATGAAGTCCCCTGTCTCCCTGCTCACTTCTCTCTTTCATATCTCAAAAGAGATTGACCTCATCTTTTAGATTGAGTCCTGCCTCATTAACATAACTGCTGCTAATCTTGCTTTATTAACATCATAGAGGTAGGATTTACAACACATAGGAAAATCACATCAGATGACAAAATGGTGGACAGTCACATAATACTGGGAATCATGGCCTAGCCAAGTTGATACACCTTTTTGGGGGACACAGTTGAATCCATAACATGATCCATAGGTTTTCATTGGTTAATTTTTGGAAGTAGATTGCCAGGCCTTTCTTCCTAGTCTGTCTTAATCTGGAAGCTCTGCTGAAACTTGTCCACTGTGGGCGACCCTGCTGGTATTTGAAATACTGATGGCATAGCTTCCAGCATCATAGCAACATGTGAGCCCCCACAGTATGGAAAACTGACAAATGGGTGGTGGAATAATAGATTAAAAAAGAAAAAAAGAAATCTGTTGCTGTTAAGTCGATTCTGACTCATGGCAACCCCGTGTTTTGCAAAGTAGAACTGCTCCGTAAGTTTTTTTTTTGGCTGTAATCTTTATGGAAACAGATTGCCAGGCTTTTCTTCCATGGTGTCTCTGGGTGAGTTTGAACTGCCAACTTTTAGGTTAGTAGTTGAGCACAAACTGTTTGTGCCACCAGGGACCTACTAGCAGATTAATGCCATGTAAATGCTATAAAAAATAAATCTTTTCGTTCAGTTGAGGGTAAGATACTTTTGGTTATGGTTACCAAGAAGAGATAAGATCTGAACCCTGTTTTTAAGGGCAAGTTTTTGTTAGGTAGAGATTGTTGGACAGGAGGTCCAGGAGAGGGGATGGAGCGAGCAAGGCCTCTTTACTAATCTCCATGCTCCTTCCTACCTCAAGACCTTTGCACATGGTGTCCTCTTAACTTGGAACATGTTCTTCTCCTTACCTGGCTAATTCCTTCCTCTCCTTCAGATCTCAGTTTAAATATCACCTCTTTAGGAAGTTTCTCCCCAGCAACCCCCTTCCCCTCACCCACTGAATAGATTTGATGCTTTTTTATGGACACCTATAACAATCCAACCTTCCATGTCACTGTTCTTATCATTTGTATCCTCAATGATGGTAGAGACCATACCTGTCACTGTGTTTTCAGCGCTTAGCATAATGCCTGACCTGTAATGAGCCTTTGGTAAATATGTGTTGAGTGAATGAATGAATGAATGTTCAAAATAAGTCATGTTTTGGTGAGGAGACCTGCAGACTGGAACATAGGACTCATATGGGGATTGGGTGGATTTGGGGGAGATAAAACTGAAAAAGAGTAGAATAGAAAAGGCTAAGGAATTTGGGTTTCATACAGTAGATTCTTAGGAGATTTTGAAAGTATTTGAGCCAAGGAGTAAAATGATAAAAACCAGTTTGAGTTTCTTTGCAGAAAATAACTCTGCCTTTCACTAGTACAGGCTAATGAATCATTTATCCTCCCAGTGTCTGATGAGGTGGCCTGGCCAGCAGAAACGTTCCCTCTCAGAAAGCAGCCTAGTCCTAGTTTATCCATACCTCAAAAGCCAGTTAGGGTATCAGGGAAGTAGGTCTTTTCATGGTGAAATATTTCAATCATGAAGGACTTCTTTTATTGTTTATCTTTATGGACCCCAAATTTAAACATATCTTATCCTTTATCAACCTCAGTTATAAAGCCATTACTTATTTTCCTATTTTCAATTAATTCGAAACATAGATAACTACTATTTAGTCAGCGGGAGATAAGCAGGGCTGACCCAACACCAAGTTGATGAAATTCCACCTGAAGGCAAAGATACTTGCCAATTTCTTTAGTGGTTTCCAGTTCCATCTCCAGTGACAGTATAATTTCCTTAGGCATTTTGAAATGCAGAAACCCTCTTGAGGATCCCAGTACTGTTTCCTGTGTTCCACAAGGGCCTGGGGACTCAGGTTGGGCATGATTTCATGAGATGAGCAGAGGCTACCCAGTACTGTGACTCCAGATCTGGTGACTTCAAGGAGAAAGAGTACAGCCTGAACCACTCACAGTCGCCAGCCCTTTTCTCTCAGAGTAGGTGATGTGAAGGAATTCTAATGCGTTTTTTTAAAAGCAGGTGAATGAGGCCTTGAGAAAGAGGTAACAATGGACTCAGTGGGCTTCATTTTCTTCCCTAGTTTATTTAGAGTTCTTGACACTAGGGGGAGCATGTGGAAGGAGGAGAGGACAATCCTTTGCTTTTATTTCTACATTTTATCATTTTTTGTGTGTGTAATCCTTGAGTTAGAGGTGCCCATTGTCACAAAAGCTCTGCGTTTCGTTATGTTCAGATCACATTTTTATGGCTTGACAAGTCTGGGGAAGCTTTTTGTTTTGATTGTACTAGTGAGCTAGCAATAATACCCCAATTATGTTTGCTGGTTACAGTGAATCCAAGGAATGAATGATTAAAAAACAAGAAAACAAAGAACTATCAGAACAGTATATATTTTGCAATGTTACATCATATCCTACACTGTCTCTTGGTGATTATTAATTTATTCCTTCACCTAATCTTCACTGAATATTTATTATGGTGCCAAGCACTGTGCTAAGCCACAAGGATACAGATATAAGATAGTCCTCTGCTTTCAGGTTGGTCTCAGTGTAACTGTAATAAATATTATGATGAAGGGAAGTACAGGCTGCCAAGGGAACACATAAGAAGCTTATACCTCCCAAACTGGGGAGCCCTGGGAAGACTTTAGTTTGGAAGAATGAATAAAAAAATAGTTCAGTTACATGAATTTGGTAGATGGTGGTATGAGGTATATTGTATGCAAAAGGCAATAAACCAAATCAAACCTATTGCTGTTGAGTTGATTCCAAGTCATAGAGACCCTATAGGACAGAGTAGAACTGCCCCATAGGGTTTCCAAGGAGCACCTGGTGGATTCGAACTGTTGACCTTTTGGTTGATAGCCAAAGTC